CCTTCCTGATCAAGGAGAAGAAGACACGACAATCGAACTATTCGCTGGGGAAAACTTGAGGCGAGCCATGCTGGTGAAAGGAATCAAACTCAACGATCCACTATCGAAACGATTTGACAGTGGCGGTTCCGGTGACTGTGGTGCCGAGGGAACATGTGCTACTTGTAGTGTCAGTGTGATGGAAGGCATGGATCTGCTCAATGAACCAGGGCTAACAGAAAAGCAAATGCTGGAGAACAAACCACGATGGAGAATGGCTTGTCGCGCTATCGTTGGATACGGCATGAAAGAGGGGAAGATGACTGTGCGTGTGAATCCTCGGCAGTGGAACTAGTCTAACGGTGCAATATTTAAGACAATCAAACAACATCGAAACCTTTTGATATAAATGTACTAAGTAGCCAGAGCGATTGCCAGGACAAACTGCCAAGAACAGTACCGTACTAGCTAGAAAACCCAATGCCTATACCGGCACACAGTATAAGTCTGGCAAAACCCAGCGGTATCTCTAGCTAGCGGCAGTCAAAGAGAGCGCGGTAGGAAGTACTGCCGGTATAGCACTGGTAGTGTTTTACGGTGCTTTTGGTTCTACCCGGCACGACAGCTTGACAAACTTCGACGAACTCCAAACTAGCTACTAGTAGCACGAGCCAAGCCAGCTGGAAAAGAAAACAAGACATCAACGACATTCTGCCTTGCTCAAGCGCATGCGCCCCGAGACGAATTAAATGCAGGGAGGAAGCAAGGAACCACTGGTGGGCTGGTCATACCGGGAGGACTTTCTTGATCGTAGTCCTTGACACTTTCCATCTGTTTATTTCTTCTTTCCCTTGCTATCTTCGAGGACATTCTAGTTTCTAGCTAGCTAGTTGTACTTTCCTTTCTCCCCATATTTTTTTTGTCCGTGTTCCGTTTTCAACGATAGCTCTTCTTGTAGCTCGAGGGCGACCATGGTTACATTGTTTAAACGCCAAATTCCGGGGAACAAAAAAAAATCCTTTCCTCGAGCTCCTTTGAAGACAGCCGCCACGCAACACCACTCGTGCAGTCCCCACCGAGGCACTTTTTGCGTCCATATCTATTGTTCCTGTTTTTGACCACGAGCTGATCGCGACGAAGCCTGACTGCTAGCCAGACGAAACATGTGCTCTACGCACCTTCACCTCCCTACATGTCCTACGGTCCAGATCTTTTGTTCTTGTTTTTGCTTTCGCCGCGCCTCGTTCCTCTCCCTACACCATCTACGCCCAAATCTTTTGTTCCTGATTTGACCACGTGTCACCAGTACAGTTTCTACCTGACATGATGAGATTCCTGTAGAATGCCCTACAAAAGCCACGGTCGAGGTTTCAGTAGCATGTCGGCAACCAGATTGGGCAGATTTGGCTCCCTTTCGTTGTATGCTCACAATTCGAAAACTCGAACAATCAAAACAACCTTCCAACAAAACAACCAACTAGCTACCGGTAGCCTTTCCACTCGTCTCTTTGAACTCGATCATGAAGCTTGCTACCTTTTGCTTCGTCTCTTCCTTTGCGGTCCTCGCGAACGTCGGTGCAGCCGACGGAAGCCTCCGTACCTCCTCTTTGCGCGGCAACAACCAAACACTTGATGGCGCTGTCACCAAGACTCACCATGATGGGCAAGATGTTGTCAAGATGGGAACCATGGTCACCATTGATGGAACTTCCAACGCCCCTGCTGGATCCCATTCTTCTGAGAAGCATGCCCCCATTCTGAGCAAGTGCATGACTGAATCCTATGGCAACCAGATGGGGTACACTCTTGAGTCCTTTGAAGTGAACAAGGAGATTGATGTCAAGAAGGATGAAGAAACCAACAACCTTGAGTCTCTACTGGTGGCTGGGATGACTGGTACATTGGCCTTGAGTACTACCTTGGAGGTGCCAATTCTATGGTGGCTGGTGGGGTGAGTTGTCTTCCACTGAAGGCAATGCTGACCCAGTTGCCCGTTTCCTTGAAGCCCACTTGTCCAGTCCTTCAGCCAAAGCTATCCAGAAGAGTTTGAAGCCAATGTTTGGATTGCCTTGTCCAGAGCAACACCAAGACCTTTGCCCATGCCCATGACTGCAAGATTGAGTACTTTGTCCACTTCCCTGACAATGGTCCCATTGCCAAGTCTGTTGATGTTCAGCCTGTCAAGAAGGTCAAGGCTGGAAGCACCATGATGGGCAAGATTTGTCAAGATGGGAACCATGGTACCATTGATGGAACTTCCAACGCACCTGCTGGATCTCATTCTTCTGAGAAGCATGCCCCCATTTTGAGCAAGTGCATGACTGAATCCTATGGCAACCAGATGGGGTACACTCTTGAGTCCTTTGAAGTGAACAAGGAGATTGATGTCAAGAAGGATGAAGCAACCAACAACCTTGAGTCCTCTACTGGTGGCTGGGATGACTGGTACATTGGCCTTGAGTACTACCTTGGAGGTGCCCAATTCTATGGTGGCTGGTGGGGTGAGTTGTCTTCCACTGAAGGCAATGCTGACCCAGTTGCCGATTCCTTGAAGCCCACTTCTCCAGCCCTTCAGCCAAAGCTATCCACGAAAGTTTGAAGCCATGTTTGGATTGCCTTGTCCAGAGCAACACCAAGACCTTTGCCCATGCCCATGACTGCAAGATTGAGTACTTTGTCACTTCCCTGACAATGGTCCCATTCTCAAGTCTGTTAGATGTTCAGCCTGTCAAGAACGTCAAGGCTGAGAAGCACCATGATGAGGCAGATGTTGTCAAGATGGGAACCATGGTCACCATTGATGGAACTTCAATGCCCCTGCTGGATCTCCATTCTTCTGAGAAGCATGCCCCCATTCTGAGCAAGTGCATGACTGAATCCTATGGCAACCAGATGGGGTACACTCTTGAGTCCTTTGAAGTGAACAAGGAGATTGATGTCAAGAAGGATGAAGAAACCAACAACCTTGAGTCTCTACTGGTGGCTGGGATGACTGGTACATTGGCCTTGAATACTACCTTGGAGGTGCCCAATTCTATGGTGGCTGGTGGGGTGAGTTGTCTTCCACTGAAGCAAGGCTGACCCAGTTGCCCGTTCCTTGAAGCCCACTTGTCCAGCCCTTCCGCCAAAGCTATCCATGAAGAATTTGAAGCCAATGTTTGTGATTGCCTTGTCCAGAGCAACACCAAGACCTTTGCCCATGCCCATGACTGCAAGATTGAGTACTTTGTCCACTTCCCTGACAATGGTCCCATTGCCAAGTCTGTTGATGTTCAGCCTGTCAAGAACATCAAGGCTGAGAAGCACCATGATGGGCAAGATGTTGTCAAGATGGGAACCATGGTCACCATTGATGGAACTTCCAATGCCCCCGCTGGATCTCATTCTTCTGAGAAGCATGCCCCCATTTTGAGCAAGTGCATGACTGAATCCTATGGCAACCAGATGGGGTACACTCTTGAGTCCTTTCAAGTGAACAAGGAGATTGATGTCAAGAAGGATGAAGAAACCAACAACCTTGAGTCCTCTAGTGGTGGCTGGGATGACTGGTACATTGGCCTTGAGTACTACCTTGGAGGTGCTCAATTCTATGGTGGCTGGTGGGGTGAGTTGTCTTCCGCTGAAGGCAATGCTGACCCAGTTGCCCGATTCCTTGAAGCCCACTTCTCCAGTCCTTCAGCCAAAGCTATCCACGAAGAGTTTGAAGCCAATGTTTGCGATTGCCTTGTCCAGAGCAACACCAAGACCTTTGCCCATGCCCATGACTGCAAGATTGAGTACTTTGTTCATTTCCCTGACAATGGTCCCATTCTCAAGTCTGTTAATGTTCAGCCTGTCAAGAAGGTCAAGGCTGAGAAGCACCATGATGAGCAAGATGTTGTCAAGATGGGAACCATGGTCACCATTGATGGAACTTCCAATGCCCCCGCTGGATCTCATTCTTCTGAGAAGCATGCCCCCATTTTGAGCAAGTGCATGACTGAATCCTATGGCAACCAGATGGGGTACACTCTTGAGTCCTTTGAAGTGAACAAGGAGATTGATGTCAAGAAGGATGAAGCAACCAACAACCTTGAGTCCTCTACTGGTGGCTGGGATGACTGGTACATTGGCCTTGAGTACTACCTTGGAGGTGCCCAATTCTATGGTGGCTGGTGGGGTGAGTTGTCTTCCACTGAAGGCAATGCTGACCCAGTTGCACGATTCCTTGAAGCCCACTTCTCCAGCCCTTCCGCCAAAGCTATCCATGAACAGTTTGAAGCCGATGTTTGTGATTGCCTTGTCCAGAGCAACACCAAGACCTTTGCCCATGCCCATGACTGCAAAATTGATTACTTTGTCCACTTCCCCGACAGTGGTCCCATTCTCAAGTCTGTTGATGTTCAGCCTGTCAAGAAGGTCAAGGCTGAGAAGCACCATGATGGGCAAGATGTTGTCAAGATGGGAACCATGGTCACCATTGATGGAACTTCCAATGCCCCCGCTGGATCTCATTCTTCTGAGAAGCATGCCCCCATTTTGAGCAAGTGCATGACTGAATCCTATGGCAACCAGATGGGGTACACTCTTGAGTCATTTGAAGTGAACAAGGAGATTGATGTCAAGAAGGATGAAGAAACCAACAACCTTGAGTCCTCTACTGGTGGCTGGGATGACTGGTACATTGGCCTTGAGTACTACCTTGGAGGTGCCCAATTCTATGGTGGCTGGTGGGGTGAGTTGTCTTCCACTGAAGGCAATGCTGACCCAGTTGCCCGTTTCCTTGAAGCCCACTTGTCCAGTCCTTCAGCCAAAGCTATCCACGAAGAGTTTGAAGCCAATGTTTGCGATTGCCTTGTCCAGAGCAACACCAAGACCTTTGCCCATGCCCACGACTGCAAGATTGAGTACTTTGTGCACTTCCCTGACAATGGTCCCATTGCCAAGTCTGTTGATGTTCAGCCTGTCAAGAAGGTCAAGGCTGAGAAGCACCATGATGGGCAAGATGTTGTCAAGATGGGAACCATGGTCACCATTGATGGAACTTCCAATGCCCCTTCTGGATCTCATTCTTCTGAGAAGCATGCCCCCATTTTGAGCCAGTGCATGACTGAATCCTATGGCAACCAGATGGGGTACACTCTTGAGTCCTTTGAAGTGAACAAGGAGATTGATGTCAAGAAGGATGAAGAGACCAGCAACCTTGAGTCCTCTATTGGTGGCTGGGATGACTGGTACATTGGCCTTGAGTACTACCTTGGAGGTGCCCAATTCTATGGTGGCTGGTGGGGTGAGTTGTCTTCCACTGAAGGCAATGCTGACCCAGTTGCACGATTCCTTGAAGCCCACTTCTCCAGCCCTTCAGCCAAAGCTATCCATGAACAGTTTGAAGCCGATGTTTGTGATTGCCTTGTCCAGAGCAACACCAAGACCTTTGCCCATGCCCATGACTGCAAAATTGATTACTTTGTCCACTTCCCCGACAGTGGTCCTGTCATTGTGACCACTGAGTAAGAATGTCGCTCCTGTGTCAGTTGAGCGTGGCATTGCACAAAACGAATTGAACGGTCCTGCGTTGTTGGAACGCTGGATGCGGGACTTAGTCATAGCCGTAGTTGTATCTGTGAATAAAGAATAATAGTGATAATCAAAGTTACAAGGTTATGTCTGCCACGCTATTAGCTAGCTCAAGACATGGCGGAAACAGTTGCTGAAACGCATTGGTATTCCCAGAATCCAATCCCGTCTCTGCGCGTTGTTGCCCCGGGCCCCTTGGAATGATTGGGTGCTGTACCGGCGCTTAACGCACCGTACGCTACATGAAGCTCACAAGCAAACAGCTTTGGAGGGAATGATTCAATCTTGCTTGAAGCTCAGCACTATGTAGGCAGAGATAGTGCATGTATTGATCTCTATCCTGCGTACTACCTATAGAGTCTTCATGCTCGTGCCCCGACCATGTCTCGGATGAATCGTCGTGGCGGGTGTTTGTCCTTTCTTGGGCTGCACCGTTTCCGACTTGATTTTAAATTTATTTTGTTGGAGGTCCGAGGGAATGAGTGAAGATTCAGTCTCGAAGCTCTGCACTAGCTAGAGGTACCGGTACCAGTAATCTCTATCCTAGGATCCTGCGTACCGGTCCTAGCTATGGGAGTCTTCATGTTCGTGTCCCAATGGATCTATCTTTTGAGATAACAGTGACATCACCATGTTTCGTGGATGCGTCGTTGTTGGCGGGGGTTGTTTGTCCGTTCGTGGGCTTCAGATTTCCATTGGTTCGGTGTTCTTTCAGCTCTGCTGTCCCAGAAGGCGCAATTGGAGGGCAAAACCAATGACGCTCCAACATTCTCTCAAAGTACTAGTAGCAGCACAATGCAAAAGTCAACAGCACTATCAAAAGCAGCCCTCTCCCTGACCACTAGCCAGCTAGCTATCGACAATAGAGCAATCCAATGTTTGTGAAGAAGGACCACCGAAAGATTCCTCGGATCCTAGCGGACGGGCAAAAGGCGATTGATGAGAAGAACGAGGATGACTATCTGCGAGACTTGCGGTTGGCTCGACGTCAAAATGAGTTGAATGGCGATGTCCGCATTCTGTGTCAACCCCAATCGGCAGCTCCATTGCAGCATCTGGAGACGTTGTCTCTTTACGATTGTCAAATCTCCAATTTGAATGGCATTGGCATGTTGGAAGCATGCCCCAAGTTGCAGACGCTCAATTTGGGCCGAAATCCCTTGGGCGCTCTCCCGGAAGAGATTAGCAAGCTGGCGCCATCACTGAAAGAACTCTTGCTGGACGATTGCGGCTTGGAGGGATCACTTGCTCCGTGTATTCTGGAGCTGGAGAATCTGGAAATACTCCGATTGAGCAATAATAAGATCACAGAACTGCCCAGGGACATTTGCCTCTTGACGAAACTACAGGTTCTTGCCTTGGACCGCAATCAGCTGGAAAGCGTACCTTCAGAGCTTCAGGATTTGACAGATCTGAAAACACTGCTATTGCGGCACAATCAAATTGAAGAATTGCCGGATGGAGTACCTGGATCCTCCCTTCTCAATCTGACTTTGCTGCATATTTCATCCAACAAACTCAAGGCATTGCCAGACTCCCTGGTCGACTGCACTACCATCACTCATCTTTATGCCAACAGCAATCAAATCAAGCAACTACCAATTGGCATGGAACGAATGACAAACTTACAGAGACTCAACCTAGGCCACAATCAAATTGAATCTTTGCCGAGTGACTTCATCGAGGCGTTTGGGGAACCGGAAAGGGAGCGTCCAGAGGCCCTCTGTGTGGGTGGGAAGGTAAGAGTGGTTAATATTCCTGGCGCTTGTGTGGTTATTCGCTCGATAAGTTGACTCTTTGACTGTTGCACAGAACGAAAAACCACCAGAAGTTGTCCTTGTTGGAAACCAAGTGATCAAGGCGAAACGAGGCAAAACAGGCGGCCAAGACGATGTTGTGCCGATGGATATTGATCCTACGAGTACTATCAACGGTGGTGTTGTAGAGGCGAGCTCTGTTGCCATCGAGACGACGGCGGCATAGAGCTATTAAACAATCTACTTTTTCTACCCCATCGAAGTATAATTCCTGACCTGACCGATTACGTTCCAAGCAAGTTGGGACCTATTTTTTATTCTTCTGCAGCGGTAATTGTACGGTAGATAGCCAATCCATGTTTTTAAAGTTTATAATCCGAGTCGGAGTCGAGTCGATCAATATCGGGGTTATTGTAATAAGCTCATAGTATTCTATTGTATGCCGTGTAAGTTATGAAAACCTTTAGTAGTGTCGAGCATACGAAAAGTTGCAAAATTTGCAAGACTCCCCAGACTTTGCATATCGACACGGCTTGCCCTCAGCCATTTCATTATTGTGTGTCATCAAGCCCCTCAGGAGGTCTTCTTCCGGTGATTCTCCCAGCTTGTAGCAGCTCTGACCGCCATATTCTTGAGGAATGTTCTCCACCGGAATCTGCTCTAGGAGGGATTTGAAAATCTCCTCTTTGCCGCGAAGGATATGAATCTTTTCCAGTGTGACTTCATCAATCATCGGCTTGACAACGTTCCATATAATCTTGAACCTGTTGGAAAGCAGAGGGAACGCAATCAAGTTAGAGAACGACTCACATGGACGTTTTGCTTCATGAATGGCTGTAACAAACTTACCACCCAGGAACGTTGACCACAAAGACATGCCCCGCCCGCTCAGGATAATGTGCCGCAGTGAATGACGATGCTTGGCGGACAAAGTCTACGCACTCGCCGACAAAGTCGGTCATGCGAATACCTCCCAGGTCAATAATGTAGATGGACCGCTGAAAGTCGTCCCGTTCAATGTACTGCCACTGGAACTCTGTAATCATGGCGTAGTGGTTGAGCAGCTGTTGCAACCCTACACCTCCATTTCGCAAGGCTCTGAGGTCCGTCTTTGGTGGTTGTTCATAAAAGACGGGTTGCCCGTTGCGTCCCGTACCATGAAAGTAATGCGGGTAGTGCTTTTTGGTGAGCTCAAACATGGGCCAGGCATCATAGAGTGCATTGTCAACTCCGTTATCCTTTCGCCATTGCAAGGTCTCTTGGTATCGTCGGCGTCCTTCGACTTCATCTCCCTTTCCCGCCCGGAGGAATCTGACTGGAAGTTCATTATGGTTGGTCTTTACCTCCTTGGCCTCCTTGGAGGGAGCATCGCTGGCCGAGAGAGTACTACAGCTTCCAGCAATGGACTCTTCGGCACACTCGAGTGGAACTTGGTAACGCCGCAGTGAGGAACTATCATCGTGAGAGGAGCGTTGAGTGTCAATTCCTCCATCGCTACGAATACAGGCTTCAAAGCTTTCGAGCATCACCGAGTCATCTGGTTCCAGTCCAATGGGTATCAAGTCTTCGTCCAACAAGGCTTCCACCGACTCTCGATCTTTGGCATCGTAGAAAATGTCTACAAAGGAAGGGTCCACGACGAGCAGTTGCTGATCTTCTTCCGACAGCTGCTGTTGAGGCTGCTCCAAGGCAGTATCAATGTCCAAATGATAAGTTTGGCTTTCATTCTCGTCCACGGTATCATCCTCTTGACACGCTCGTCCTAGACAGTCTCGTCGCTTCTTGATGATCTTCTTTCGTCGCTTCAGTGGACGCTTGCTACTACTGCCGCGTCGAGATCCGACATTGTCAAACGCCAGAGCCGAGAGCAATGACCGCAACACGCTGCGATCTTCGGGAAAGCCTTCGGGTCCAGGAACAGAAGGCATTATCATTAACCGTCTCGTCCTCGACAAAGAATGAGATGAGCTTTCTAGCAGCCTATCTTTGGAAGCAACGCCAAGCAGCGAATTCCGTTTCGGCTCCCGTGCTTTATCGCACCAAATAGACCGATTTGGTGACGGTCCTGGTCTGATGAGAAGCAATGGAATGGGCGAAACGAATTCAATTTAATTCGTTTCTAATCTGATGGATACCGATACCCCTCTCAACCAGACATGGACTACTACAACTTGATTGATAACAACAACCCCACGAAAAAGATCTATCCAGCGACAGATGAATGAATGAAGGCTCACTATAAGAGGGAAAGAAATGAATGCATTCGATGCATGTGTAGGCGAAGGAATTTGATGCTGTGCTTACTGTATGGCCCGACACGGCATGGCCAGCGGTGGGCGCTATCGCTAGAAAATTGAACAAGGGACTCGTTGGGTGGCTTCCGTGACTTGCTCTCCAGAGACCTTGGGCGCCACCCCACTCGCCTTTTCCCTCCTTTAGGCGGCCAAAGTTGGGCCTTCCGAACCACTCCCGCTTGCCCGAAAGCCGGCCAACCCATGGGAACAAACAACGGACAAGGGCGATTTGACCGTTTCATCTCTATCAGGTGGACTTGGGTTTATTGTGATCCCGAGACGAATGCTTCAACATGGTACCGGTACTGGTACAATAACCAGCAAAACTATTGTTGGCTTATGCCTTCTCCTCCTATTAGAAGCAGCAGGGAGTGTAACTAGCAGTAGCAATGCGAGATTGTGCCCATCTTGATGTCCTTTTGGGAAGTCTTGATCTTGTGAGCCTTCTTGGTTCATTCCAGGGTGCCATGTTCAGCAACTTTGTGTTGCGGGCAGTAGCTTAGTAGCTGAGTTGAGCTTTCACTCTGTGGTAACTTTTCCGTTGTTTGACTTTTTCATCCACCATGGGAATCATCAATGCTTGGGCTATTTTGATGAAATTGAGGCTTATGACGGCCGGCTCTGTAGATTTCGTTGCAGGAGTTGATCAGATTTTCTGGCAATTCTCTGGATCGTTTCAATATCTCGAGTCGCTCCCTATTGCATAGGCTGAAGTGTTGTGTCCCGAAGGTCTTGACAGTATGATACTGCTGATTGGATCAAGTTTTTAGCTTCTTAAAAGTAGGATGGGTAGGTACAGCTCTCAGTGTTAAGAAAGCACTTGGAATGGGTTTAGGGTTAGAGTTCAACACAAGAAGTCTTCTCACTCACTTTTTGGCGAAGATTCCCTCTGACCTCCTTTTCCTCGTCCCTCTACTCCCATGACAATGACATCTGCATCCATTCCGACAATGGGTACCACCAGCAAAATTATTGTTGGCTTATGCGTTCTCCTCCTATCAGCAGTGACAGTAGAAGCAGCAACAAGCGTAACTAGTGATAGCAATGTCATCCATGAGGACGACGCCGCCTTGCTAAGAGAGATTGTGCCCCCAGGCGTTTCCTTGGAAGATGCGGAACAAGTGGTGCGAGACGCTCTTGCCAGCCTTGTGGAGAGCCTCTACTTGGATATCCATGACGATGACGAACAGCGGCACCTTTTGCAACAATTATCATACCCACCCACCACCAACGTGATCCCGCCATGCAACACACTTCTGGATACCATCTCGGCACAAGATTTGAAAACGGAAATCAGCAATACGTTCCAGAAACAAGGTATCTTTGGATGGAAGTTGGTGGCTTTGGAGATTGTCGTCATGTCCAAGATGAATCATGACTTGCAGATTTGGAAAGTCTGTGGGCGATGTTCGGACTTTGTTTCCGACAATAGTACCCTTGATATGCCGTTGTTTTGTCGACCTGATCAGTACGGATATGAAGCCTTGCACTCAGGACTCTTGATTGTACCTTATGACATGGATCAAGAGGCGTTGACCCAATCCACTCGTCCCGTCAACATCATTGCTCCAGCAGCCGGATCTACTGCCAGTGAGGCATGGAGTCGCCCCGTCAATGACGCTCAAGTGTTGATTGGATGTTTTGTCAGTTCTGCCAACAATGCCTACACGCTCATGACAGATTACATGGGCTTTGGTGAATCCGCCATGTACTATCGAGCGTTTCTGCAGCAGCAAAGCATTATTATCGCCACGTTGCCTATACTGTGGCAAGCCGAAACCATCATTGCTGAAATATCAGATTGTACAGCTGCCATGGCCAATGCGTATACATTGTTTGGATACTCGGAAGGGGGGTATGGCGCTGTTGCCATTGCCGATGCACTACAAAAGTTGGGAGGCACTATCATTTCTTTGCATGCCGGTGGAGGACCCTACCAAGTTTCCACTTTTACCATGTTGGATAGCACCCAGAAGCTTTTGAACGGGCAGATCGACCTTGCCTTCTTTTTTGTACTGCTGGGAAGTGGGTTGAGTTCAACCGTCACCAGTGTAGCGAACTACCAGCAAGGACAAGACTTTCTGACTTCTCACTATCGAGAATCACTCATCCATGCAGTGCAGACCACTCGAATCAACCGACAACCTATCCTGGACCAAATTCCCCAACATGATCCAACCGCACCGTTCAATCCACACATGATTGCACTCTATGAAGAAGCATTGGCAATGGGCAATGCTGATCCCTGCAACAATGCTACCAGTGGAAACGTCGTCGTGAATGAAACGGACAAGATATGCCAGGCGTTGCAGGATTTGGATCTCTTGCCGGTGTTGACATCAGCCAACTATCCCATTTACCTATGCCATTCTCGTGACGACCAGCTAGTGACGTACCGCAATGTGCCACCTGTAGACGCCAACCCCGATTATTTGCATGTCAGAACCGTTTCAGGGAGACATGCCCCAGCTGCTATTCCTTGCATTCTGAACACATTGATGTATTTCGTCAATCCTAACAATCTCCAGAGGTACCGTGTGCAGGACAGGACAGTTTCAGGAGGTTGTGCGGCAGCATCCCAAAGTGCAGCGTGTCCCTTCTTCCTCTTTGATTGGTTTGGGTTGTGCTAACAGGGAAGTCACGGTGGGAGTGGAATCCTGAAACCGCCAAAATACAATGTACCTACTAATTGCTACTAGACAGGCAGCTTGGCACTTCATACGGGAGAACGGAGAGAAACCTAATCTCCTTGTGGTTGGCGATCATCCATGCCAGTAGTTTCGAGTTGCTGCCTTGGGAAGCATGCGCTACAAGCAGGTATCAGATCATGCAAACCGTTCTTCTATGGCTGCCTTTGTCTAGCTAGCTAGTACAATGCATTCGTCGGACTTTCAAAACGAAAGCGCACAGTGTCAATAGAATGCAACAGCAAACTGTCCTCCGCGTGGGGTGATGTCGCCGTGCTGTAGAGCCCGGGGACCATGCTGTTGGACCGGGACAGATAATGCGCTCAGAAATGATAAGACGGTGGTAGCTACGATGGGTCTGAAATGATAAGACGCTGCTACCGCCTGCGCTCCAGTCAGTGCCATTTATTCATCAGTTTCTATGAAACGCGGTGTCACAAGCCCGAAGCCACGGGCATTCGGAAAATACTAACTCCCACCCGTCTTTTTCCCTTTCTCCTAGAGCATCGGAGCATGCCATCAAAAGTCTGTATCGCTTTGTGTCATCCCTTCGAATGGCATAGACTGCCTGGGCAAAGGAACGGAGTCGGGGAAGAATGACATCCTGCCAATTCCTCCCATGTTGGAAACGATCGTCTAAACTGATACGGTCGACTTGGATGGACAACTTCTTTTTGGGGCGTGGTTTATTGTTGCTCGTTTTAGATCCCACAGTTTCCGAGACCTTTCCCTCTGCTTGTTTCACAGTCGCAGGACCAGCATCTTCGGAAAAATCGGAAGCTGATTGTGCTGCCGAGTTGGAAGCGATATCCTTTGATTCAAGCAGTCCTTTCCTTTCGCCAGTTTTTGTGATGATCTGGGTGTGACATTTCGCCTCCGTGGCTGTCCCCTCTGCCGGTGGTCCCTTGTGTTCTTGAGAAGCCGATTCAGGTTTCTCCATGGATGAGTCGTTCTGCAGGGGACTGGACACAACAAGCTGGTCCTTCACAACGTTGCCTGCTGCCATCACTTCTTCCCTTGTACACTCTGCTTGGTTTGCGTCAGCGTTTGCAGGAATGTCTGTTCTCTGACTATTTTCATTGCCGCCTGTTTCTTTCACCAAAGAAGTCTCTTGGACCTGCCCCGCCGTTTCTCTAGCAGCATTGGGATTCATGTTCTCAATCCCGCCCGCACTTATGCTGGTGTTGTTTGTCTTTACCAAGAATCCCACAATTGATTCTCTTGTCTTGTTCGTCGCGCGTTGATTGGCTTTGCTGCCTGCGGTTGCATCCTTCTTTTTGTTGTTTTTGCTGGGTTCCTTGGGGTTGTCAGTTCTAGTGGTGTCCTGGCGTTCCTCCTCGCACATGACTTGGACAACATCTGCATCATTGACTCCATACATGAGACAGTAGGAAACGGCTTGGATTTGTTCATAGAGAGGCGGGAAATGAAACAGACGGTTCATTCGATGCTTGAGCTCCACAATGACGGGTGTCATCACCCAGCTGTCATTGTCAAATTCGTCCTCTACTTGCATGTCGGTAGAGGAACGTGGAGGAGCCGGCGTCAATTCGTCTCGTCGCCCATCTACTGATCCTCGAATCACAAAGAAAGGATGAGGGAAACTGTCCTGATCTGGCGTTGCGGCCTCTGTTGACCTTCGATCGGTTGTTTTATCCGAGGTATTGTCACCTGATTCTGGAGCTTCCTGTTTTGCTACTGCAGTGGTTTGGCCTTTCTCGGGACTCTGCGTTCCACTATTAGTTTCAGGTTCTTTTGTAGATTGCGGTGCAGAGGGGGGATCATTGACAGTGGATTCATCGGCTTTGTCATTCGTCGTCAAATCTACAGTTTCCATTGTCTTTTGTCGCTTCCTCCCTAGGTAAGAGGCCCCCCCCTTTTCTCCCGTGGTATTTTCTTGTTGTTCTTCTTGTCGTTGTCGTCGTCGTCGTGTCCAACATGGCTTGGCCTTATGAATGGGTTCCACCGTCTTGACTGTTGCATGGTGGAGAACTCGAAAAGGCCACTCTAGTATTTCTTCATTGCGATCGAATATTTCCCACCCAAACTTTTGCGCCACTAAATCGAGGGCATTATCTTCATGGACATGCCCAAAGCGAGTATTGACGACGTGTCGGGTCCCTTCCTGCAACACTTTGATTTCTTGTGGTTTCAGCTTGCCACTGGCCTTGGCCTCTTGAATGACGAGCTGTTTGACTTTTTGTGCTTCTTGTATCGTTTTGGTGTCGTGTGATTGGGCGTTTTGGAAGGCTTTCTTAGTTTTGGGTCCAGCTTGCTCTGCCAAGGATTGCCAAATTTCTTCTTCGGTGGCCACTTGGGTCAATCCCAGGGCTTGTGCGTCTCTCTGGTGCAATAGAGCCCCCGTGGTGCCTTGGTAGACCAGTCGAATCACAAGGTGTGGCAAGACTTTGAAGGGATGAAAGCCTGTCATTGCAGCAATGTCAGATACGGATAATCGTAGAGTCTGGCGACAATGCTGATCCACCAGGACTGGAAGAGGTAGCACTGGAAGTGGTTGTGGTGGTGGTGCTACCTCTGCGCGCTGTGGATTCTTGTCTTTGGCGGAAGAAAACGATCGCAGATTGTAGCCAGATGGATTAGTGCGATAGCCTGCTGCTTGGTTTACCTCGCCATTATCCTCAGTAGAGCCATTGTCGTTCTGTGTCGTCTCCATGGTCGATCTCGGCCACGTGCTTGCCTCCGGTCAGGACACTGATATTGTGATGCAAGCACGGCTTCGCGCCTTTCAAATCTTCGTGGCAAAAGTTGCTTCCGATAAATCAGAATAATAATGCAGAAAGATGGGAACTGCCATCTGCCATAATCTCGTCAATCTCTACCTTATGGAGCGGTACCGGTACCGGTAGCTAGTCTAGTAGTATTTGACCCATATTTAAATATGCAACACCAGGATTTTTAGCCCCCCCAAGTCAGCGACGAAACAGCAGGCATTCTTCGATCACAACAATCCAAAAACGGCAAGCAACCTCGACAATGGGATTTTTCCTGCTACGGTAGCTAGCTAGCCTTAGTATTGAATTGTTGACAACTTTAACAAGGGATTCTGTTGATTGCTAGCTAGCTAACATGCCGGCCGTAGACGTGGCGTCGGATGAGATGAGTGAGAACACGACGCAATCGGCTACCCAAGATCCAAAGGCCATCCAAGAATCAGCGTCGAGATCGCTAAGCACCAATGGCTCTTCGTCGGATCATTCAAATGGGGACGACAACGAGGAAGATGAAGAGATGGCAGTAGATACTGATAACGGTGACGACGAAGAGCTGGTCTTGAGGGAAACTGAACGGGGTGCATCAGCTCAACAAGAACCAGCAAAGCACAATGCCATCGATCCGACAGGCATCAGTAGTTCCAGCATCCAGGAAGACGAAGATAATGCTGATAATATGTTTCCCTCGCAGGAAGAGGAGATAATCGATCCTGTGGAAAACAGTGAAATACCGGAACAGACTGAGCAAGGTGATGCAGCCGAGCAAGACGCAGAGGAAAATCCAAACAGCATCTTGACACCTGGCAGTCCCAACACGACAGAACACCAGGATAATACGAGTACTCCCACACAAGTACAAGAAGAGCAACAGGAACAACAGCAATCAATGGCTGATTCACGGCAACAAGACGAAGAAGAGGATCATCCAAATCTAAATGGTATCTTGGTTTCCGACAGTCCCAACAGCAGGGATGACCAAGAGAATGTTCCCACAGGGTTCGCACGAGTGCAACAAGAGCCAGAACAACTAATAGAGCCATCAATGGCGGAACCACAACAAGAAGACCAAGAAGGGGAAAATGGTATATTGGTTGCTGACAGTCCCAACGGCGGGGATGACCAAGAGAATCCTCCCACGCAAGAGCAAATAGAGCAATCAATGGCTCAACCACAAAAAGAAGAAGGGGAAAATGGTATCTTGGTTTCTGGCAACAGCAGGGATGACCAAGAAAGTACTCTCACAGGGGCAACACGAGTGCAACAAGAGCCAGAACAAATAGAGCAATCAATGGTGGAACCACAACAAGACAACGAAGAAGGGGAAAATCCAAACGGTATCTTGACAGCTGGCAGCAGTCCCAACTCAACAGAACATCAGGAGAATCTTCTCGCGCAAGAAGAAGAGCCAGAAGAAGATCAAGAACAATCGATGACTGAACCACAGCAACAGCAAGAGGAAATTAGTACCAGACAAATTAGCAGGTCTCCAGCTCGATCGATTGTCTCCTCCATTGTCATTCGGCAAACGGAAGAAACCCTCCAGGCTCTTCAAGCCAGTCTGGAACAGTCATCGACGGAGTTGCTACGGACATTGGGGAATCATTTGTCGCAATTGCCATATTCACCAGCAAGCAATGGGCGTCCCGTTGGAGGATTCAGTCTCCCAGCATCTGCCATTGGATGGTTGGCATCGTCTCGTCCTCCAGGAACCTCTCTCGACGCCCTCCTCCCGAGGCTCACGCACCTGCGAGTCACGGCTGCGCAACAATGGCCAGCCAAAATCAAGGCCGCCCCGGCACAGCAACGACAACAACAACAACGGCACCAGCAACCACAACGATACTTTGATTCACTCCAGTCCTTCCACAGATTGCGATACAGTCCCACTGTAGATCCCAGCGTTTTTCCAAATTTGCAAGTTTTGTTGCTCGATCAAGTACCACCCGATTGGGTGGTTCGGCTTTCGTCCTTGTCGTCGACCTTGCAAGTACTCAGAGTTGAACGAGCGTGTTTCTATGACTTGGACACTTTCTTGTTTGGATCCAACCGTGCTATGTCATATGACAACGAAGTAGACGACGATTGGGAACATGTTCAAGTGGAATACCATCAGCTGACTCACCTCAAATTGTCCCATTGCAATTTGGGAGAAATGACCAGGGGCTTGGCGCGACAAAGAAGACGCGATAATAGTAACGGGGGAGCAACAATCCAACACTCGCCGGACGTCAGTCAGAGTCTGCCGTTGGCTCGCATGCCCAAACTGCAGTCGCTCAGTCTCTCCCATAACGAGATACGATCCGAAGAAGCTGCATTGGCCACTGGGATTTCCCATGCCTCCCATCTATCCACCTTTGATTTGAGTTACAATCAAATTACGTCCTTGGCCCATGCACCGCGATATTTGGGAAATCTACAAACCTTGATTTTGACGGGAAATAAGATCGAGTCGGCAAAAGGAATTGACCGTCTCTATGGATTACAGACCCTGGCATTGGATCACAACTGCATTCGAGATTGGATCCATGTGGCCGGGTTGGCGCGATTGCCGGAATTGCAAGTCCTGAAATTAAAGGGAAATCCTTGTATGGAGACTGCCGCCCGACAAAAGCACGCTCGGGTCATGCTGTTGGACTTGTTTAGAGAGCAACGTCTTGTGATGGATCAGACAACGACCTTTCGGCAACTAGATGCTGTCCTGCCTGTCATTGATGAGAAACCAGTCAGTTCCAGAGAATTGAAGGCCCTTCAGCAACGGGCCTTTCGCATGGTAGCCCCACGGGCTGCAGCACCTACACGACGGGAGGGCACTGCCCTGGTTCCTCCTGCCGCTGGTATCGTCCAAGAAGAGGGACCGGCAAACAGCAACAATGCTAGTGAAGGTGACAAGCAAGAATTGGATCAGAACAGGCCTCCTGCTCCAGAAGCAGCAACATCCACAAAAGTGTCAATAGTCAAGGGTCGAAGGGGAGCGAGAAAGAGGCGTAAGGCCTCCAAAGCTGTGATCGAAGATGAACCGTACGCGAATGCTAGATCTGCAACGAGGGCATCTGCCGCCCATGGGACGTCACGATTACAACAGTCATCCACGCCAGAACAACCCGCAGGGACTTGCTCAGACGAGAAAAAGGAAGAGGCCGCAATGAAGATTCGTTCCTCGCTGGACAGTTCAGGGTTGCAAAGCGAAATGAAATCATCGGGTCTCAAGCTATCCTTCTCCATCACTGACGTTCTTTTGTCCCTTGATCCGGCACCAAGAGGCAAAGAAACGACAGAGGTCGACGCCTTGGAAAGGGAACCTTCCGAGGCCGACAAGAACGGAGATGTGGCAGACCCGGAGGAGGCGACGGCATCGGTTAACGGAAAAGGGTCAAACGTAGGATTGAAATACGCAGAATTTGATTGGCCAGAGCCGTTACCCTACGTTCCAAAAGAAAACTTGTACCCAGAGTTTGAATGGAAGGTACAAACAACCATTAGCTTGAGCGAGGAGGCAGGGAATCGGAAAGCCAAAGCCAAAAAGAAAAAGGGAAAAGCATCTCGCTCCCAACAGGTCAACCGCAAGAAGCCTCCAGCCATGAGCACATCGGGCAGTGCTATGGACGATGCGGCAAACAAGAAGAAGAAGAGCAAGACCAAGAAGAAGAAGAAGAAGCCGCCAAACACTGCTTCGCAAAAGCAATCGCCTGGAGGTGTGGCAGCCGAAACTGCAAATGGAACATCTGAAGGCGTCGGGCAACGGGGCGTAAAGAAGCCTCCTCCGGCGAACGAGGTGGCCAGCGTAAACCTGGACGAGGGCGGAACTGTCAGTGGTTCCGTGCCCAAGAGCCCGAACCGGTCTCCGACGACCGATGTCGCGAGCCGTACATCGCTAACACTGCGGCGGTCTGTATCTTCGGATGACGATGATGACGTCGACGCAGGTGCAACGCCCAGTGGAGCTCAAGGAGCGTCCTTTCCCGCCTCAGTTATGGATGGATTCGATGACGCTACCTACAGTAGCATGGGAACAAACAGGAGTGGTGCAACCAAGAGTCTCAAAGGACCCAGTCGCCAAGACACGTTCCATTTGGCAGAGGTCAAGAGCAAATTCTTGGGAATGGAACAGGAACGCAATTTGAAGGTTGAAGACAACTTGGAGTCCTACTTCAAGAACTTCGTGTTCCCTGATTTTGTACCCAATCTTGACTCTGACCAACTCGGCGCAGACGTTGACACCTGGCAGTCGGTATTCTTTCGTTATCCTCGCATCCAATTGTTTCCGAAAGACCGTGACTTGCGCGAGAAGTCGGTCAAGAAAGGATCATCTGCGTCGGTTCAGCTTCCGACAAACCGAATCGGAGAAGAGCAAAAAGAGCGGTTTGTGAAAGTTTGGAAGGAGGACATTGTAGCGTGTGGTAAGCCTGCACTTCGTAGACTGAAACCAAACCGCACGGCGCACTTTGGCTTTCATGGAGAGCTTTCTTGGCTAGACGGAAAGGTCCAGACCGTTTCAGAATGTCGACAAGTTATTCTGTGCCTCTCGAGTACATCTTTTTACATCATTCTGGACAACGACAGTCTTACAGCAAAGGAACAGAAACCGTCGAATGCAACAGACGCCAGAGTGGCGTCGCCGTCCACAGGGAACCAAGACGCCTTGGAGCTGAGTCCAACTAAGGCCCGCCCGCGAGGACGGTTCCCGTCGCCGCTGCCTGCCGAGGCGGTTTTCTCTCAAGCGATGTGGCCGCACGCTGTGGCTTGCCATCCGCTCAGTGACATTCAAGGGATTACCATTGGGTTTGGCTTTCAACGAATGACACTACGTGTAAGAAACCCGGCCTATCCGAGTGCTGTTGATTACACATACGCTCTGTTGACCTCCAACAAAATGAAAACAGTGGAAGTGCTGCGTGGGTTTCAGGGCCTGGTGAAGGAAGCGACCCTAGAAATGGATCGAGCGCTGACGGAAGAGGCGATCAAAATCGACAACGACGATCGATTATTCTTGGATGGACTTGCCAAAGCCGTTGCCCCAGATCCTCAGGTTGGCCCCCCCGAGCCGGTGGGTGCCGTCCTCCACTACCAGATTCTCAAGCAGAGATGGAAACATGGGCAGCGCGGAGCCGTCAAGAGAATATGTGTTGTGACAGATCGAAAGATTTATCTATTGGATGAGGAATACGAGGGAGACGGATCAGTGTCTGTGAATTCCAGGAGCGGCCAACGGCTTGGCACTCCATCGTTCCGTTTGATCGATTCTGCTGACCTTCAACAAGTGGCAGAAATCAAGGCTGCTGATGCTGACCCGAACGCAACAACTATCATAATCCGACCCATTGAAACATTCGGTCGCACTCATCGTTGGCGCTTGCTGTGTCGCGACCGCAGTGGAGCTGAAAAGCTCGTGGAAGATGTGAGAAAGGGTTTGGCCTTGATCGACTAAATGGGCGACACTTGAACGCGACAATCATGGTGGTGCGCCCATCTTGCTCCGGTTGATCGGTGGTGCCGTAATCGATCTCCACTGAGCAGGCAGCAAAAATGAGAGATGCAAGGCTCCCAATAGCAAGAGGTATGTTCTCTTTCGTTCTTGTGTAAAGGTTTGCGTTGAGTTTGGTTTGGTTTGGTTTCTCCTTGTAGCATGGTCTTGGTTGCTTGGAACCCCCAATGATTTAGATTTTTTTGCGAGAGGCCCTGTTGGCTGCACAGATCTTTCTCGCGGTTGAGTAAGAGATGTGATGGCCGCGGGATGATCTTCTTTCCTCTGTTGCCCTGCTCTCGGGGCGGAAATTGGATCATAGAGGGCAAGGGCTGGTGCAGGCGCATTGCAGGCCTGGGGCTCTCAGCTTGTGATAAATGGATTATGAGATATGAGGGGGAAAGCCAAGAACAGTGTTGTTTTTGTCAAGCAGTTTGACGTGTCAAGTTTTGTTTGAGTCGAGTTACTAATGCAATTTTTGCGTTCTCGCCTGTTCAGCATTTCCACAGGGTACCGGTAGCGTTGCTTGAACTTTGAGGCCGCATGGTTGGTACAGGTACCGCGACATATTGGTATGAAAAGCGGACCTATCTTGCAGTAGTTTAGGGTTGACATAGTACAGAAAATAAATAGCAACGAAGTGCCAACTGTAGTGTCTACTACCAGCAGCATGACTTTGATGGAGGAGCCCTTTTCCTTCATTGAAAATGGTTCTGCAGCTAACCTTCAAGATCTATCTTGGGATCTAGCTACTAGCTAGGGTGGTCACACCAAGAATAGTGCGGCATTTGAGGCGTGACTTCTCGACTAAGACTCAGCATGTGGGCATGCAAGCAACATTGGCAAGACGATTCACATTATCAAGAGCACAAGGCTGACAAAATTATAGTATAGACAACCATTAAATCAGAACAGCCACTTGGATTATCTACAACGACAACTACATGTGCATCACAGGTTCTCTGTGAGGAGCCGATATCTGAGGCTCTTGGACACGGAGGCTCACAAGGGCGACTTGAAGATCGTTTCCCTTCAGAGACAAGTTAAGGTCCCAAAGTTCATCCATGCAGTGGAACTGATCAGGTACTAGTATTCAAGGTTGTCTGTATGGCTTGTAAGGCCCTCTTGCCTATAAGATGCTGGCAATGACTTCATATACTCTGACTGATTGTGCACAGTGGGTTTCTACCTTGCCATGATCTCCTTGTTTTCCGAAACTAACTCGATCTACGGAGGCAGGATGTATGATACGAGCAGCTTCGATTTTATTGATGCAAACGCGTGCCGAACTCTCTGGTACACTTCTACTGGAGCTCTCGTAGAAGTGTACGAGAAAACCTGGCACACGTTTGAATCTTTAAAACCGAAGCTGCCTGTACCGGTACCGTTTGAGGGGCAAGTGACGGAAATGTGAGGACTTTATTATCGAGGTTCGGCTCGCTTTTGTAACTAATCCACCCGCCAAGCCCTCGTAGCTCTGGTACAGTTTCTACGGTGGAGAAAAGAAACGGCCGAAATCCACTAGTTGTTTGTGAGTGGACAGATTATTGGATTCTCGATGAGAATCCAATCTGAGGATTTAAGCTTACACATGGATTTTGAGTGCCATTTCCCAGGTTTGTATAAGGAGATAGTTGATTGGAAGTTTTACTCATCTAGTAGTTACTGTGTAAAATCCACTGTTGGATTTTCAGCCGTTTTCTTCAATGTGAATTGCTGGGAAGAATCCCACTGTTAGTATCACGAAAAATCCACTGTTGGATTTTCGGCCGTTTCTGTCCCTTAAGTAAACTCAGGACAAGTTACTAGCCGTTGAAAGTCCAGTCAAGAACGACTAATTCCATGGTAAACCGTGATTTTCGAACAACAACAAAAAGAACTGACTTCAACTCAACGAGCGATCAACATCGACAATGGCGCTCCTGTTACCATATCGGACGTCTTTCCTCGGGCGTATGGCAGTGTAGATTACATACAAAGATCTCCCGCCTCACTGTCAGCCTCGAATGTCGGCTGCGATCTCGTCGCTTCCAGGCCTTCGGCCTTCCTTTCGCGCCTTGATCTGGCCTCCATTCTTGGCCTTGTCGATCCTTGTTAAACCGTGTTTCCTTGGTTTCGCCGCGGAAACACGATTAAACTCGGATCTTCAGTTCGCCGGGAGATTTTTCTACATAAAGTTTAAATGTCTGGCGTGATCTGACGTCGTCTGGGCGTCATCCATGGATACAATACCGTACAGGACCAGTTTTGAAGTTGCTGACGAACTTGGACCACTGACAAAACGGAAACACGTTTTTAACTGAAAAGAGTGCATGTTTCACCAACGGCAAATCTCGAGAGCGACCGTTCACAGACAATTGTTTCTCGCTCTCCGCACGAACGAACTCTTGGTTTCTTCCTTCATTTCCTGTCTCTTTTAAACATGCTACAACTGCTATCAACACCGCGGCCTGGTCGTCAGCTTGACACCTACAAACATCTTTCCCCGACATCTCTTGCACCTCCCAATGTGACACAGAAGCAAATGGACAACGACAGGATTCGGGATTCACCGTTTTTCGCCCTCGTCCCAGCTGAAGAGAAAGAGAAAGTCAAGAAAGGCATTACTTTTGTCTATGGGTTCATGGAGAAGAATGGTTGGATCAAGATAACGACACCACAGGGGCGTGGAATGGTCTTCCGCAAACTGGACAAGGCCACTAAGGCGGACCGCGTTGCCCTCGTGAAATCAATGACACAAACGGAGAATGGTCGCCGTGAACGACTTCTCCAATTGGCATCTATTGAAGGGGACACTGACTTGACGCAGCAAGATGGCACAGATACTCTGATCAAATGTTTCCTTCAAAATCTGATTCGATTCTTCGCAATGGACGAGAGCTTCGGATTCCAACGCGACATGAACGACGTCGTTTGGTCCCTGTGCGAGCAGTTATCAGCAAACTGTTTTCTGATCTCGGCTTGCGATTTTGTTGACCTTCAAATTCAGAAGGATTTGCAGCTGACGGATACTGAGAAACGTCAACGCTTCGACAAGTCCCAGGTTGCCCGTCGAGTCATGTCGGCAGAGGATCTCGTCAAATATGTTGTGGAGAACAAAGGTAACTCTGGGCTTGAAGTGATTAAAAAACTCGTCGGCCCGAAACAGGCGCAAGAACTGCAGTGCCACCCCAGCAACTCAATTACCTTCAATACAGGATCCATGGTCGAATTTACCCTCGGGGCATGGAGAGACTCGCCGGCAGGCCCTGGATTTCTGGCGTTCACTTCGAAAGGCTTCAAGGCTTATGGTGAACCCTCCCAGATTCCTTGCTTTGATGCATTTGACCAAAAACCAGTGAAGTTTCTAGATCTGGAAACTCCGGCTCCCTCCGAAGAGACCCTGCTGCAGAAACAGTTGCCAGCTAAGAATCCCGGTTCTCGACGAGTGAGTCCGTCGGGCGCAGCCCAACAACTATTTCCAGAGTCCCCCGCAGCAAGTTCCGTCTCCAGTTTTCAGGAATCTATGACGCTTTCAAACTCGTCTTCATTACTTGACATTGCCACGGGGAGTGAGGGCGGTGTCGAATCGAGCGGAGTCAGTCGAGGGTTGTGGGGGTTCAACAAGGCCTTTGATACGCTGCGTGGTTGGATTGGTGAGAAACAGAATGAAGACGGTGACGGGGACCACTATTTTTTGGCCGGAATGCCTGCTGTTCCCGCCGAAACCGGTATAGATCGTCACGGTGGCGTCCTGCTGGGTGGATTCACAGACACAGATAACAAGCAGTGGTTTCTTGTGTTAAATTCATGGAAGGACATGCCCCTGTTCTTGGCCTCGGGAGAATGTTTGGCCAAAGCCAATACGGATCTTGCATTCTTCCAAACGCCGCTGAGCGAGTTCCCCAATGGCTTTATTCGTACGGAGAAGCGATTTACTGGTTGTGCATCGCCATCAGTGAACAGCGAAGGAGACTGGAATGCTCGAGACCAAGGAACTCTATTGGATGAAGCGTTCGTTATGGGGCAAGGCCAACGTAGCGCACCATAAGAATGTTTGCTGTTGCTCTTTTTGTTCCTGCTACCAGGTATCTCACCGCGGCCCCCCTTTGCTTATATTAATTAAGTACCGGGTATGGGATTGTGGTTGTTATCTTTTAGCTACACCAGCTTAGCTGGCTGATTGTTGAGTATGAAGGCTGGCGACGGGAGGATCGATCTGTTCTAATGATGTTATCGGTTGGTTCTGAAGAACTTGCGGATGTCGTCTGGGGTGTTATCTGGGAGTTTCAGGGATCGCTCTTTGGCTTTCATGTCAGGGTGACTCGTGAGTTTGTAGATGCTGATAGTCTTGTCGCCAAAGCCAAAGTCGTTTCGTGTGCGCTCTTCTGCTGTCATTGCAATCCTCCTGAGCACTACCTTGCACTGATGTCTACAACTATCATGTCCTTGCAACTGACGTCCAACGCCAGAAAGATGCCCCCTTCCAACCCTTCCAATCTACCCCCACCGTGACCGAGTCTTGGAAGACTTCTATTTCAGTCTGGTATACCTGGTTGTAATGGTTGGATGCGGGAATGAATACATCTTCCCAAGCTTCTCCAAGGCAGCATTGAAGACAAAGTCAAACAAATCCGACAGCAAGGTCTCCTCCCTCTGGACCAGTCTCTTCGATGAGCTACGAAACACCTTTGAATCGAATGAATCACTGAGTGATATGATAGTTGTAGTACTAGCTAGTACCTGGTATTGTCTCATTTGTATTGGAGCTTATCAAAAATGAAAGACGATTGATTCGATTCGATTCGATTCGATTCGGCCTCAAGTGACGACTTCATATATTTATGGGACGATGAGTCGAGTCTCAAAACCCATTGCTGCGTCGTTTTACCCCAACATACGTCAGGGATTTCTGTTAAAAGAGAACCTTGCGATTTGAAGAAGGGTGAAATTCCTTCGTACGTCATGACGAACATCCATTCTATTAATACATACTTGTACTTTTCGATTCTGATTCGGTGTCGCACTCATCTTGACGAACAGCTTCGCTTCTTCCAAAAGAACTGGCTAGAACAGGCTAATACATCATCGCTACCAGACATGCAAACGCACACGAGCCCACCGAGAATTGGGAGCTTCCTTCGAGATTCGAGACCGGAAGACTACTGGCTCTAGCTAGCTAGTACTCGTAGTCTACTACTGTAGCTAGCTAGCTAGTATGCATAGCTCTCATGATCCCCATCTTGTGATAAATGTACTAGTACGACACTCAGTATTTTATGTATCATAGATCTACTAGCTACCGGGTGGCTGGCTACATGTAGTAATTACAAATATCGTGCAGATTGCTTTACAGAGGCCTTGCCTACCACTGTACCCGGTTTGGTAACTCTCCTCTCATGGTCGCCATCTCGGAATAGTATGTATCATAAGTTGACACGAAGTATAGTATCGCTGGCAGTTACTGCCGGGCCCTGAGGCCTTTGTATATTTTCTAGCAATTAAAAAGAAATAATGTACAATCATCCTTGCAGATTGCTTTACAAGGGCCGCCTGCCACCATACCTACCGGTAGTAGTCTGGTGCTTGTCTTTCATGGCAGATATTGGTTTAGGATACCTTCTTTATCAGCCCTCTTGGCGAAGAATCCCATTATACATCCTCGAATAGAACCTCCAAAGCAGTCGGTCTTCCTGCCAAGTCTTGTAGAAACTGCAGCTTGTTCAGCCGAAGACTCTGCTGATCCTCCTGCTCGTGACGACAGCCATGTGGAACTATTCGCAGTAGAAGCAGTATTGTCGTCTCGATGCTTGTTGTTTGCTAGTCTGCCATAATTTCCCTTCAGTAGCTTTGCCGTACGTTCCCTGGCATCTTCGTCACCAATATCATGATAGACAGTTCCTACCAAAGGCAATGTGTCCTGTTGTGCTGATTGTGTGGATTCTGTCTGTGCCAAGAATCGTCCGGGAGGGTCTAGACTTCTCCATATACGCACAACCTCTGTCAATACAAGCTCTCGGTCTTCCTTTTTTCTGTTTGATCGGTAGAGGTCCTTGTGGTCCACTATCAGTCTGCTGAACCGTCGGTTTCCACTATGACGGCTATGGCGATCGATTGTGTAGAGATCGGGTCGGAAGATGACATCTGTGGAAAATTAGAACAGTAAGCAGCACAGTAGACAGTAGTAAGTATTGGGTGTCCACCAAAGATTCGATTCACATGCGGTAACGAACAGTGGAGACCATCCATACTGCTACAGCCGGTCACCGGTCACTTACCATTCCGCCCGGGTACTCGAATATCGTTGAGTGGCAACGAAAACTCCGTCAAGGCAGAAACATCATCTTGTTCTTGTGCTCTTTGCTCGTCTTCAGCCGTCATCATGATGAGCATTGCAATATCAATCAAAACCGCTGCCTCCTCCGTTTCGTCATCTTCTGCCTGCATCTCTCTTGATGTTTGGATGTTATTATTTATTTGTTTCACTCTCTCTTCCTTTGGCCTTCGGCTTCCGAGAGATGATGCAAAAGCAGCTGTTGGGCAATACTGCTCGATTCACATGCGTACCCTTGCAGCTGCTTGGTGTGTCTGTTGATGGATGCTGCGCATGCCCGACGCAAAGGAACATGTACTGCTACGACTGTAGGGCTTCTACCCACTCAGTTGTCGCTAGAGAAATTGACTTCGTGAAGCCTTTTTGATTTTTGTGACACAGAAACTGGCTTTGCAACCACCTGTGAAGACCAATCGACGCAAATCGCATGTCCGGTCCCGCTAGGACATTTGAACTGCGACATCTGAAGATTTGGAATGGCAGAAAGACTTAAAGGCCGACCTACCTCAAACTGACGTCGCTAAGGAATTCTTGGAGTGTCGAGCTCGAGTGACAGTCAGAAAGGCACCGGATGACGTCAAATAACGTTTTCCCGCTAAAGCCGTTAAATCTTACGAGCGACTTTCGCGACTTGGCGCGACTTTACTGCCTTCTTTGTCACGAGGTTGGATGGGACGGCAAACACAGTCCTTTGGAAGTGGCTAGCAGACGATTTTCGGGGTAAGAAGGCAGTGATATGATTGGTCGAGGACCCAAGTAAGACACAGGTAAGACACGTTAATAAATAAGTACTAATTCAAATCTTTTACGTACTACTGTGCTACCAAATCAGAGGAATTCGCGCCCAAAGTCGTGAAAAACAAGATTCCGTTGAAAGCCGACCATGACAGAGCTGCCGTTCGTCTTTGTTGTTTTGGTCATTGTCGCAATCAATAGAGTGGCTGCACAAAGATGGACTCCAGCGGAAGAGCCCCGATGGCTCCATTGGATGAGAATGGAGCCATGGGGCGACAGAGTCAACAGAGAAATTCCCTGCAGAAGAGGACCAACAATCTGGCTGCCAATAATCCATATCCAAAGAGGAAGAAAGGAGAGCGCAAGAAGGGAGACCAACTGACGCTGTTTGGTGCTATTGCCTTCGATCCCATCAGGGACTGTGAAGTGTGCAGAGCCAAACACTATGGACGCCGCGTTCCTCACAGGGAGCATGACAAGAGGTGTCCATTGAACCAAAAAACGCACGGTGCAGGTGAACTTAGCGAACAGACACTTGCCACTCAAGAGGAAGAGAAGAGACTCCAAAAGCACTTCCACGCACCTGTTCAACCATACGAGAAGTTCACAGCTGAGGGGTTAACGCAGGACGGAATCAACGACTTCTTGGCTCCAAGACAAAACACAATGAAATCAAACGTACCAAATCTACCAAAGCGAAAAGGTGATCTCTCTGGTGGCACCTTAACAGCTGAAGCTCTCTGTGACCAAGTAACAAGCTTGGTGAGGGATGCATCTTTTGTTGAAAAATATCAATCCAAGAACACTCCGGTTGCCATTATGGCTCTGGCGCAGGTGGTGTCAGAGAAGATAATTAATGCAAGAGACAAGTCCATGTTCTCGCGTCACTTCAACGGCCTCACCATGATTATTCCAGAGTCAACGAACAAGATCAGTCCACACTACCATTCCATTGCTGGCCAGAAACTCCTGTTCGTGGACTGGTCGCGAATTGGCATCATTCCACCATGTCCTAATGGAAAATGTACTGGGAGTTTGCGCAATGTCAGAACCAATTTCTCAAAAAACAAAACACTCTTTCCCATTTTCTGCTTACACGGTGCTCCATCCTGGTGCTTCGTGATGAACATGCAGTGTGATACTTGTAAGAGATCGTTCTTTGCAAACTCTGCAGAAGTCCTGGTTTCGATTCCTGCTTATGCCGCACTTCATTATCCGGTGGAACCCAAGTTCGCCCTTCAAAGGGCTTCGCATCTTTCCAGAACTGCAACCAACACTTTTGACTCCATCATGCTCACCTATGGAAACGGGGAACTCTGCAGTCGGCTTCTCTACAATGCAATCAACAGGCAGTTTGTCGATCGTACAGCCTCCTACTATTCTTATCTTCAATCTACCAAACAACCTGGAGCGACAAACAAAACAGAAGATTTCATCGGGAAAGATGGAACCTTTATTAAGGCGTATCCTCCTCTTGGTGACACAATCAGAGACATCTACGATGAAGCATCGTCAAGCTCGAAGAACCCGTGGGGAATTAGTGACAATGAGAGGCACACACGCGAAATTCAATCTGTCAAGTGCAACAACATCTTCTGTCAGGACCACACCTTCCAACCGGTAAAGAATTATCAGAAAAGCCTTGGAGCAACTGCAATATGGGATGTTGCAACCTCAACAGGAGAAATAGCATCAGCCGTGTTAGTTCCTTCAACAAAGACAATTCATTTCTCCCATGCGGCAACTCAGTTGTCAAGACGTACCGGCTTCAATCCAAAGGTGATGTACAGTGATACTTGGCCGAATAAGAAGGAATATTGGGAGACTCTATTTGATGACCTGGTTGGTCGCCTTGGCTTGTTCCATTATGAGAAGCGCATTATCAGCACTATGCGGAAAACGCACATCGATTACATGCAAGCCATTGGTGACCTTCTTCACTGTCTCTACGTATATTGCTCTGAGGATTACGAGAAGCTGCTCAAGACTCTCAAGGACGGATCCCTTAATGGGAAATGCCACTCTTCGGAAGACATCGCAGAGATGAAACGAACCAAGTACTTCCGTGACAGATACGCAAAATATCTGCGAAAGACACTGCGTCCACCGGAGACGATGGTTCAAATGCTTGATGATTGGTTTTGCCGGTACAAGGTCACTGCAATCGATGGTGGTCCTGCGCAAGGAAGAATTGATCCAGTAAGAAAGGTGACACTGTTCACTTCCGACACCAAAACGGCTGTACTTAACTGCAAAGAAAAGGCCAAGTTTATCAGTGATCATCTCCCTCTCCAAGAGATGTATCTTCAGATCAAACCAAGCCCCAACGCCAAGCACAATCTCATTGAGTACCTATCAAACAGAGGTGAATCAAAACTGGAAGCTTTTCACGACAGATTTGCACACTTTGCGAACAGTGGAATGAGACGTACGTTGGCTGACAATCTCAACCTCTGTGGAACTGCCAGATACAACCTCTCCATCCGTCACAAGCGAGCATTGGCGTCAAGCATCAGCACAGATGAGAGGAAGCTCATCCCATCAGGTTGGGAAAGGATCGTGCCATTTTGGAATCACTCTGAGCTTGCGTACATCAACAGAATGGCCGAATCAATTGGTTTGACAAATCTCCCCTTTATGAAAGTGGAGAGATTGCCAGAAGACAATGGTGAGCGATTCTTCAGCGAGTACATTACAACATTCAAACCACAACGACAACGATACGGACCAAATGATGAGTGCTTGTGTACCAGTTGCACCAGTTGTGTTGTTGTTGTGCCATCGCCAACACGTCCAGTTGCACCACCACCCATCGCGGATTCAAATTCAAATTCACCGGAACCGGTAACGGATAATACCATGGCAACAAGAGTTAACAACAACAATAACGACAACAACAGTGGTAACCGCCATGGCCAACACTTACAGAGAGCAGCGCCAGCCTTACCGATTCCACCGACGCGTCCTATTCAAATTAACAACAATTATCAACAAGCAGCACCATTGCCTGCAATTCTTCCGGCCTTTCCAGCGTATTATCGCCCACCAGTCCGCCCAGGAAGTTGCTGTGAGGCTTACCATGGTTGGTTAATGGGGCCAAGGGTAGGAAGACCGCCGCACCACCCAGCATGTCGATACCGGAACGCAGTGCATGGGTACACGTATTACAACCAATACCCCAGAATGTTTTTTTGATCCGGGGATGGCTGAATCTCAAAAATGGGAGCGAACCAGAAAAAAATGGGACAGAATTAGTCGGGTCCCAACAGTAGTGTTAACGTTTTAGATTCAAACGAAAGATGACATTACCTCGATTTTTTTGGTCTAAATATGCGGGGCAACATTCGTAGACTTAACACAATCCCCTCTTTTCTTGCCATCGCCCCTCTGTTGCTAAGTAATGAGTCATTGTGAAAGTCTGACACGAGGTGCGGGGCACGCTTGCAAGATGGGAACCCAGAATCAAACCCTAACCTCTTTCCTCTTTTCGTCTCTGTCGGCCCCCCTGCGGGGTGCCTTACCCCCCCAAAAACCTGCTGGGAGAGAGACTGTGTTGAAAAGCTCCCTGGTTCATGCCAAGCCCAACCAAGATAGTACCTTATCATCATCTCATACTGTTCCAGAATGTCTTGCATCACAGAGATTGTGGCGCTGTCTTTTTTTAGATCAAGTAAATTACTGAGACAGCTCACAAACTGCCAAAACACGTCAACACAGGTTATACTCTGTGGTAACTTTTGACGTTGTTTGACTTGACTTTTTCATCCCCCATGGGAATCGACAGTGCTTGGGCTATTTGTGGCACTTGTGAAAGGTCGGATTGTGTTGGCAGGCCCTGTAGATTTCGTTGCAGGAGTTTATCAGCTTTTCGGGCGATTCTCTGAATCAGTTAGTATCTCAATTTGCTCCCTACTGCAGTCTATGCAGTGTTGTGTCCCAAAGATCTTGACCGTGCTGATTGGGTTGTGCATTGCCTTAGGATGCTGACTTCCATGGTGAGGTCGCGGGTGATGCTGCCTTCAATTTCCAAGTTTTGGACAACATGGTGGGCGTGAGAGCCTCAGTCTGATTTCCTACCTTACCTCTTGTTCATCTCTTAACTTCGTTCGTCACCCAGGACGTCTGTGGAAACTCGAGTCGTGCAACCGATCGTCTCCTAAATCCTTTTAATCGTCTCCTATTTAATGGATTTCGTCTCCTAAAAATAGGAGACGAAACGGATCGTCTCTTAAATCTTTCGTCTCCTCTTAAATCGTCTCCTATTTTCAACGGATCGATTCCTATTTTCAACGGATCGTCTCCTATTCTCAACGGATCGTCTCCTAAGTACACCATGTAAACTGTATGGTATCGTCTCCTAAATCTTTCGGATCGTCTCCTATTTCGAACGATCGTCTCCTAAATGGAATGTCTCCTAATGAATCGTCTCCTAAATATAGGAGACGATTGCTTTCGTCTCTTAAATCATTTCGATCGTCTCCTAAGCCTTGGTGTATCGTCTCTTAAGTAATTTGCCGCGAATGACTTCCACAAGGACCTCTGTGGAAACTCGAGTCGTGCTACCGATCGTCTCCTAAATCCTTTTGATCGTCTCCTATTTAATGGATTTCGTCTCCTAAAAATAGGAGACGAAACGGATCGTCTCTTAAATCTTTCGTCTCCTCTTAAATCGTCTCCTATTTTCAACGGATCGTCTCCTATTCTCAACGGATCGTCTCTTAAGTGCACCATGTAAACTGTATGGTATCGTCTCCTAAATCTTTCGGATCGTCTCCTATTTCGAAATGATCGTCTCCTAAATGGAATGTCTCCTAATGAATCGTCTCCTAAATATAGGAGACGATTGCTTTCGTCTCTTAAATCATTTAGATCGTCTCCTAAGCCTTGGTGTATCGTCTCTTAAGTAATTTGCCACGAATGACGTTTCCACAGAGGTCCAGAGGTCCAGTCTGATTTTGACATCTACCCGTAGTACCACTTTGCTTTCTACGTAGGCTTTGCACGTAAAGGTCCGTATGTAAAGGCGAATGTGGCTCAATCTACTTAGATAGCCGTAGACTTCACCCTACTGTACATGGAGCGCGCATCGCGAAGCAAGAGTTAACCGTTTCATTTTTGCTTCCGTTCAACTTCTCGTACCGTTACTAAGTGATCCATGTTTCAACTCCCACCGACAATCCCAACTTTGGATCTTACACACAAAACTTGATAGAAGGAATTTTTCCAAAGTGTGAACGTGTGAAACATTCGTCGCTTTCCTACCAAGTAAATTTTGGCAAGGGATCAGTCTCTCTCTTGTCAGTGATTTGTCGGTGGAGGCCCATTCGAATCGTTCGTCTTCTTGAGTGAATTCGACCTGTAGCCGGAACAAAAATGGAGCTGAAGCTGGAGAAAATGCCGCCCTGGTTGGGTGGAGAGACCCACGGGCCATTGATGTCTGAAGAATTCATTCGACCCGTCGACGAGGATGAGATTCCCCACTTTCCCGAATGCGACTATGATAAAAACCCCACTAGTCTCTTCAAAGCCATTGAAACTAGACAATGGGATGCCATTTCAACTTTCCTACTCAGTGGCTATTGGCGTGGTGAGACTGCTCCTGACGAAAAGACACCATCGGCTCAGGTGTGCACATGGGTGACTAAATACGAGACCACTATTGATGGCAACGATGAGTGTGGAAAATGGACGCAGCTACCAATTCATGCTTCATTGACGTTTGGAGCTCCCGACAACGTCATCCGCCTACTTCTGAAGTTCTGCCCGGGAACTGCTGCTTGCGCGGACGAACAAAGACTGTTGCCACTGCATTTGGCATTTCTTCATGGAGCTTCGGATGAAGTGCTGAGCTTGCTCTTGGAAGCGTTTCCCATGGCATCCTTTGTGCGTAACTTTAAAGGCAAAACGCCAGTAGAATGTGCTCCCCACAATGGGCCGCACGCACAAAGAGCTGAGATGATGCAAGTGATTCTTAAAAAGAACAGGAACCGGTGGGAAGAACAAAAAGCCAAGTTACAAGCCAGTCAGAAGAAGACGCGGGATATACTTCGACGAACCAAGGACACGCTGAGGAACAAGGTTGAGGAAATATCCAATCTCAACACAGAGGTTGATCTGGTCAGGTGTAAAGAGGATCAGAGCAAGAAAAAGCTTCTGACGTTGGTTTCGGAGCTCAAGGAGATCAATGGATGGTACCAGCAGCAAGAGAAGGTGGCAACGAAAGAGGACATTGTTGAAGATCTTTCGACGAAGCTTGCCGCCTTGAATCAAGTGGCTGAATACTTGGTTAATGAACAAGAGGGTGGAGACCCACTCGTGAGGGATCGGTTTAGGCGCAGTTTGTTTGGTGACATCCCTCATACCTGGACAGGCAAGACTGAAGCTGACGAAGAGAGCGCCAGTGTATACTCTTCAGGAACAAAGGGTTCGTGCTACTCGAGAGACATCCACATGAATCCTTACATCATCTTCATGGGGCCCAATAGCGATATGCCAGGCGCGTCCAAGATGGACCACGTACATTCCCAACTCTCCATGTCGAGCGCTGGATCAATTCCCAGTGTAACGTTCGGTGAAGTGGAGCTGGTCTCAAGCGGCGAAAGGAGGAAGTCGTCCAGAAAGAAAGGAAAGCAGGAAACTAAGAAAGAGGTTCTTGACAGCATACAAGAGGCTGAGGCAGGAAAAGACCCGATACAAGAGAGTGGGGCAGAAACACAAACGCTTGACATTGCCGACGACAGCGGGACAAAGAATGATTTGCTCAGCATGCCGCAAATGAAGGAAGAACAGGTAGATTCGTTATTGGGCGTCACAGAGCTTAGTGAGGAAAAGATCGATTCGCTCGTCGGGGCGATTGAGAAGACCGACGTGTCGAGAGCACCGAGTACTGGTTCACGCAGCATTGCATCATGGAGGGAACCACTCATGAACACCGAAGTCACAGAAGCAAGCAGAGGTACCCTCGCAGCCCTGCTGAAGAAGAAACACGCTCAAGAGATCAATGCGGGCCCTGGACTTGATGCCGCATTAGAAATGACTTCCTTGGACATGGAGGAATCGTTGGACAGCCCATGGGAACATCAGAACGAGTCTATGGACCGCGGGACGTTTTCTTCGATGTCGAGAACAAGCACACCAGGAAGTCGCTCAAGCGGTGCAAGATTCAGCTCATTCCAGGATGTCCCCGGCGACGGTATCTTTTACAATGGCACGTATACCGGAACAGCTGGAACGGAAACATTTGGAGCTTTTTCTGGCACCGATGCTTTTTCTGGCACAGACGCCTTTTCTGGTACAGATGCCTTTTCTGGTGCCGACACGCGAACGTTTTCGGATGTACAGGACGAAGCATCAGCAACATCATCCGCTTCATCAAGAGTCTGTGCAGGCGGCTCGTACTACCAAGTTGAGAAAGTGTACAACGAAGCCGTGCGAATACCGTCCTTTAGAAACAACTCTTATCCGTCGGATGAAGGGGACCGCGCTTCGCCTTCCAGCTCCGTGGAAGCGCCCTTAGATAGTTCTACACGCCCAGATGCCACAAAAGAAATGAAACCCAATGAAGACGATGAATATGTGATATCTCGAATCGCGTTGGCTTCGGAGCCATTCCTAAGCCAGTCAGCCTCACAGGATTCAGAGCCAGAGGAACCAAACGTCGAAGAGGAGTCGCAGCTTCGTCCAAATGATCGGAGACCTGTCACTGAAACGAAGAGAGAGCTGCCGCCCCGACCACCGCGAGCTCCAGGCACGCCCAAGCGTGCCTCCATATTGAAAACGTTGAAGCGTGCGTCACGTAAGTTTTCAGTGAAAAAGATGATGAAACGCAAGAGCTCCAAATCAAAGAAAGACGACGACATTATGCAAATTATTGATCGGGCCTATGACAAGAGCGAATCATTGCAGTCTTCGGCTCATAGCAAGAGCGAGGATGGAGATTTGGAGCAGGAACTGGCGAAAATTGAACATACTCTTTCTAGAGCTGAGATGACCTTAAGCCTTCTTTCGAGCGCTGCTTCAGGTGGTGATCCAGATAGCTCCGTGCAAAGCTTCACCAAAGACAATATCGATGGCCCAGAGAAAGCAGATGCTTCAGGTCCTACAGAAGATCACCAAGGCTCTTTCAGGAGCTCCAAGAGGGAGAGTCTCGAGGACGAAAATTCAGCGAGCTACGAAACTCTTCCATCTCTCGCATCAAGGGGTTCCCCGAGCGTTGAAGAGAAGAAGACTAGAGGACGTGATCACTACAAGATATCAAGCAGCTCGGTTTCATCTGAAACCAGGTCCTATTCAACAACGTACGAGGAACCAGTCACTCCTATGGATTCCTTTTTGTCATTGGACTATCTGTCTCGTGCACAAAACGCCTTCTTTGAGCAAGTTGCTTCGACCATCGGGGGTGCCATGGCCCTCGGGGCCTCGAGCACCGACATAAGCAAAAGTACGAAACGTAACTCTGAGATTGATCTAGCTGACGCAGCTCCTTCAGATCCAGCGGTTCCAGACGTTGATGCAGGTCCAGATTCAGCTGCTTCCGAGGATGCACCCCAAGACGGCGCACCCCCAGACGACGCACCTCTAGACGATTGGGCTCCAGACCAAACTCCTGCAGACATGGCACTTCCAGCCATTGTGAAATCGGTTTCTTCCATCAAAGGCGTCGAATTGATGGCGAGAAATGATACGGGCGATGAGATGTACGAAGACAATTTGGAGAGCAGAACTTTCTCTGATGGCTCTACCAGAGGAAACGAACCCGAGCACAGAGACGGTGATAATCAGTCCACAGAAGGCATGTTTGTCGAGGTAGTTGATGAAGGGTCTGCACGAGATCTACCAGAAGTTTCGGACACACCGCAAGGCATCCAAGTTGACACTAACGAAGGCGCGGTGGAGGTTCTCCTGCCCGATGAAGCAAGAGAAGAGGAGGAGGAGGAAGAAGGAAACGACGAGGATACTAACAAAGTGGAGGACACGAAGGACCAAGACGAAACCCCTGACGCCGCCAATGCTGCCGATGCTGCTCCCTCCAAGAACCAGAAAACCTTTTCCGGACTTCGAGGATCTTTCCGAGGTGTTATCAAGAAAGCAAAAGGATCCAAGAAGAAGCAGAGTGCACGCGACGTTTCGAGCAACGAACAGTCCCACCCCAATAGCGCCAAAGCAACGGTTACGGCAACCCGTGAGTAGAGTATCAGAAATGCGAAGAGGTACAGTATCTGACAGACCAATGCCTGTGAGCCCCTATACATCTCAGATAAGAAGTAGCATATGTTGTTTGATAGCAGTGTTTAGATGATGCTACTAGTACTCTAGCTAGCTAGCTAGCTAGCTAGCTACGGTAGCTATGTAGATGCATGCTACCGGTAGCCATGCATGCAGTACCACGAGCAGGTTGAACTCCGAAGGCCATTGGGTACGGTAGAACCTTCTGGAAGCACTTTTTAACAGCATTGCTGGGTTTTGCCGTAATTTCGACGGACAGACGAGAGCTGTCTTGAAGAGGACCAAACCGAGCAAAACGTGGCTAGCTAGCGAGCACAAAGGTCGACAATGATGCGATGCATCCATGGTCCATCCCCCAGCTTGCTACGAAAGATACATATCTCTAAATGGCTTGGGATCGTATGTTGATTGTCAGAGACGAGTCCTCAAGCGAAATTTCTAGGCTCGATCCGAAGAAAGGATGGATTGGACGGTTGTTACCCGACAATGGTGGGCCCCTCGATGCACCGCTGTCCGAGGAGTCCTCTTTGTCCTTGTTTTCGTGTTCCTGCAGAGCATTGACTCGATAGATCTACCAGTGTACCAACGATGCAACTTTGGTGGCTTGTCCAACGCCTCCTATGGCCATGGATGGGAAACTTCCACTTGCCTTGCCTGTAGGAGCCACTTGGCCCCTCTCGGCAATGGCCAAGAAGAAGAGGCTGAGGCAAGCGAGAAAGGATCTCCCAGAGGAGTCAATGTCCTCCTCCAAATTACCATTCCCAAACTCGAGCCTGAGTTTGTGAACCTGGCAGCTGGTCTGCTCATGGCACAAAACAATGTCACTGTATACCACATGAGCTTTTATCGAGGAATGCGCCAAGATGTTAGCCAGGTATTACGGCAACGGATTCTCGCCAGAATTCCGTGTGCACATGTCGATTCTTCGTTGGAACGACGATTAAAGATCAGACCTATTGACATTGCGGCTCCTATACGTGAATACTGCAGCAAACGAATCATTGTGACCATCCCGTATATGGAGCCAATCCAATCTTGCATTGGAGTGGCAGCACCGGCTCAATATCGACTCTACTCGAGAGTTTTTCGAAACCTAGAAGACCCAGACGATAGAATACCCGATGTTGTCGTCACTGACATGCACGGCTATGGTGTTCTTTTCATTGCTGAGGAATTTGGCATTCCATCACTGGTGCTGGAGGATCAGCATGCCTTTTACGAAAGCACGGGACAACGGCAGGGGCAGGGTGGTTCCTTCCGACGGTGGATTGATATCATCATGATCGGAACGATACGGGCTGTCATGGGTACCAAGACATTTACCGATGTCAGTCGGTTCCGAAGTATCCTGGGATTGAAACGACTCAAGCACAGAGGAAGTGTTTGGAGTGCGGCCACTGCCGTCGCAGTCCTCGGACACGAATTCAACGCCACCCTTCCTGTACCAAAACACTCGTTTCCACCCGTGATACACCTACAATCACCAATCTTTCCACCCTGTTTGTCCTGCATGGAGCGGTCAACAGAGCTCAATACCACACAACAAATCGACAGCAGCCAACAAGAAAAGACACTGACTCTCCTATTTGTGCCACCACCAGATTTATCCGTATCATGGGGACACGAAGTGACAAGAGGATTGTCCATGGCTAGAAGGACCTTGCTTTCGTATGACAATTCCTGTGATTCTACTGTTGTTTCTACTGCTCGCTCAACCGGCGGGACCTCCAATTGCTGGCATGATCGAATGGATCTAAGAGTCAAGTGGATGGTGGACATGGACTTGGCTAATTACCTGTATATGCCACCCAGTAGACCACCCGGTTGGGTTGAAATCCAAAATGCTTCGCTTTTCCTTGACAACCTGCTACACTATACAAAAACAAACCATGGCCCGACAATTGTGATGGCTCAATGTGACGATGAAGCACGGGCAGTTCTTCTCATGGACGTCCCCATCTTATGCTTGGCAACACGAGGAACTCAACAATCAAGAGAAAACACCAAAGTCCGCCACCTTCGCAATTTTCAAGCTCGTGAAATTGCCACGAAAATAGTCAATATTGTCTGGGACGTGAGAGACCTCGCGCTTGAACCAACCTATGCACTACACGACAATGAGCCCGGCAGCCTCAGCCGCTTGGTATCTGCCATCCAGACTGCTGGGAGCTTGATTAAAACTCCTCAATGGCCGCTGCCTGACTTCTTTCAGCCCAAGAAAGCAAGCGAACTTCAATGGGATTTTTCGGTTGCCATGGAGCGGAAAGATACTCTGATAATTGGTGACCGAAAAGAGCTATCACAAACTCACACCGTGTTTTGGTGGGCGTCTTGGGTCATTATTGCAGTGTCAACTTTTCTTGCAGTCGTATCATGGATATGGCCCTTGAGTTCCAGGTTTCTACGATTGAACGGCAACGAACACCAGGGTTTGTTCGATGGACCAAAGCAATGTGTTGAGGCATGGTTAGCTCGGTTACCCGAATTCAATACACTTTGGGAATCATTCCGGAAGGCGTGGAAAGAGGACAAGAAGGCACCCAAGAAAGTGAAGCAGAAAGCAGCTACTAGTAATGGAGGTGCCAGAGCATCCGCTATCAAGGCCTCTGAAACTCTCCAAAGGAAAAGTAAACAACGCTAAGAAAGAAGCGACAATTGGCGTGGCTTGCGTCGCGGAGGTGCAATAGGCTTGCTGCTGCACACGCGCCACCTGGATGGTTGAAAGATTAGAGGCCGCTGCGCTACGTTACTGTTGGGCTTGCTACTAGAACATTAGGCCAGCAGAATCTTCCATGGATGCGCGAGTGGTCACTTGTTCGGCTTCGACTGCAAAGAAATGTGCCCTCATGTATCGAACCGTGGCAACTGGAATCAAGAAACCAAATAGGTTGGTCGCCCAATACGCTAGATTGGCAATGGCAACAGCCTGCCCCAGGTGGCCTAATGCCAACGGTTGGAAAACCCAACTCCATAGATATCCTAATCTGATAGTGTTGTAGGCAACTGGAATCAAAATGCGAATGGGCAGTGGTGTCTTGTTGTCATTCGTCGAGTGTTGCGTAGTCAGGTAGTTTCATAACAAGAAAGGACACGTCTTTGAGTGAGATTGGAAGTTCAAAATGTTAATAAGGCACCCTTCACAACTAACGTTTGTGTGCTTCACATACCAGAGATCGTCTCGACGCAGCTTCACTGATGGCCTGACAACACATGAAAAAGATGGGCCTGGCACATGCTCGGGCACAATCCAATCGGTCGGTCAAGGCATAGCGCAGCATCATTGCCAGTGGCGCTGCCAGGCCCAACAAAGCTCCTGTCTTGAGCCAAAAGTCATAACTCCACGAAAAGGACGTCAACCCAGGCCCCAGCGGATTGGAGACAAGATTGGGGACATGTCCCTGTGGGGGCAATGAGGGCATCACTGGCGTCACTCCATCACGTCGAAGAGATCGTGCCCAGAGGAACAAAATGACAAAGTATCCCGTGAGAAAGGACACCAGTAGAGCATCCAATGGTCGAATCATCCCCGACAAGACCAAGGCAGCTGCCACGAGAATGGGTGTTTTTTCCATGGATGAGGAGGTTGTCCCTTCGGATTCGGTTTCTTCTTGTGCATAGGCAGCGCGGCGCAAAATCCTACCAATGGCCCTTGGTACATAGATTCGTCGCTGTTTTTTGCTATCAATGCTTGTGGATTGTGGAGTAGTGGCCCCTCCTTCCGAGGAAAGACTGGCAAAAGTCTGGACGACTTCGTCCGGCAGGATCCCATTGGGAAAGGATTGTTCCAATCGGACTGGCTCTTCGTTGGCAGGAGGCCATATTTCGGCCCCTCTTCCATAGCTGGAGCTAAAGAGTACCGTCTTGGGAACCTTGCCGACTCGGTGTCGATTGGGTGAGTTGTATTTGGGTAAAGACCTTCTTGAAGCCTCGATAGAACAAAATCCATCTACGTAGGATTTGTGAAAGAGGGGTAGCAACAACACTATGAGCATACTCATGGTTCTTCGGTGTTTTGGCAGGCCCAGTTGACGAGGGCAATAGGCTACCTGCAACTTGATTAATGATTGAATGATTGGAGCTTGTTGGTACCAGGTATATTATTGCTACAGTACGGTAACTCACATTTCTTCCTTGGATAGCTCCTGCATGTCAATGGCATCCCAGGCAACACCCACGACGACGAGAAAGTTGAGATGTTTGTGTTGGGTCGATGCGAAAAAGATTGATGGCAATGACGTCATCGTATCTACCTCCAACCTTACATGAATTTGATTCACGCCTGACTGAGTGACTCAAATATTTGGGCCTTGACCGCACCGGGGGGAAACTACCGCGAGCCAACGGTTATCTAAACAATTTTCGTCGGCAAGGCAGCTCACACCAACATTCGTGCCAGTGGACAGCTAATACATTGGCTTTTGAGGAGCATTGCACATGCATGCTGATTCTTCCAACCCGCGGTCAATGATACGATTACTCTTGCGGCATCACATCTTACAGTATTAAACCCGGCGACTTGTAAGCCACAATCCACTTCTATTCCATTACTGTATTGTGTGCGCTGAGGAAAAGGGTAGCACACCGGTACTTTAGCTAGCTCTGGCTATACCTGGATACCCAACTCTCCCACTATAGCTACCCACAGTCCAGTTTCTCTTGCTTTCTTTGGACGAAAGCAAAGGATCCTCAAGAGCTTTAGTGCAACACAACACAACAAACAGCAATGACGACGATGATTCGCTGGCTACTTCATGTACTAGCATTATTGCCACTGACCTGCCAAGGTCGATTCTTGGAACAACCCACTGTGCGATGGACGTTTCGTGTTCCTGGCAGTGGCTCTCTGAGTGGCCGCGGCTTTCGCTCGGGCAATCAAGTAGTGGCGTCACCAGATGGCAAGACCCTCTTTGCCACGGCCGATGATGGCACTCTACACCTTATCGACACGGAAGATCTACGAAACTCTCAAGTCTTTGATCCCGAAACCATTGCTGGCACGTTCACCGAATGTCGATCGGGAGTCACACTCAAGTATGACGCCAACAATAAAGAACTTGCCTACGTGGTATACTCGGTTATTGATGTTCCCGTGCAAGTGGGGGTGTTGTACGATGGCTTGTCCAGTGATTCCAGTAGATCTTCCACTCTCAGTCGACTCTTGGCTGTCAATTTGGATGGGACACTTCGATGGTCGGTCCCCTTGAATGGAGCCGTTGTGGGCAATGCCGTCGTGGGAGGAACGCAAAATGACAAGCTATTCGTCGCACACAATGTCCCAAACTTTATTGGAGCTTCACCTACCCGAGGAAAGGTATCCGTCGTCCTACTCAAAGGATCCAGACCAACTGTCACGGCATCCGTCTCTCCCCTCAATCGACATGGACCCTTTGGTCCTCCCTCGGCTGCTACCGTCACGACGACAACGGGTACTACTATGGAGGTTGTCGTAGTGGCAGAAGCATGGGAGAAGGGATATTCATCCGATACTGGTAGTGTCTTTTTGCTGAAACCATCCGCACTCTATCGAGAATTTGATGGACAGGGCAATGATGCCTATCAACTCGACTTGATTAGTGATTGGGCGGTGGGTTCCGTCACAAAGCCAGTTGTCAAATCATTCGACGATAATAGTGCACTGGAAGTCTTTGCAGGGGCGGCAGGAGCACGATTGAGTGGATGGACTGGTGCAAATACTCTCGCGGGTGTCATCGATGGAAGCCAAGAAGATGTAAAGTCGTCCTGGGATGTCACGCTGCAAACCAACAAGGGCAATGCTTCTCAGCGTAAGTAGATTCAAAGGGAGCTGTTCTCTTTGTGTGTTGTGGGGTCTCAGCCTGTATTGTTAATGTCCCTTGAATGCCCGCCTGCATCTTGCCCGAAACTAACACACCGACCATCCATTCCAACGCTACACACAGCTCTACTAGTTGCGCCTGTTCTCTCCAAAGACCAAACAGTCCTGTACCAATCTGGAGCTTCCACCGAATTGTATTGCATTGGGACTGAAAATGGGGAGATTTTGTGGACATCTAGTGGAAACAACCGTGGCTCGATTCGCGCCGAACCAAGATTGGTGGACAATCCTCAAGATGATCCCAAAGTATTTGTCATTGAAGGGAGCAAGGGCAAGGTTCGCCAACACGATGCCTCCAGCGGAGTTATCGATTGGACATTCGACTGCCATGATGTATCAGGGATCCCATGCCATGATGCCGTCGAGGCAGACTTTAGGTATGAACGAGTCAGAGTGGATACACTTGCTTTACTCTTACTTGCAACCGTTCTGACCCTCTTCCTGTCCAATCTTGTCTCGCCCAAAGCATTGATCCTTCTGGAAATACACTGTTCTATGGAGACGTTTTTGGGAAAATTGTTGCATTGCAGATTGCAACCTTCACGTCACAAGCGCCACAGGCGGCTCCCACGGATCCACCAGTAACAGCGGTACCCATTAACCCAGAGGAACCCGATCCAGAGGAAGTTACACCAGGACCAACGACCCCCCTGGCAACACCTGCCCCCACACCCGACCCAACTCAAAGCCCTGTGGCAACACCCACCAACACACCCAACCCAACTCAAAGCCCTGTAGTGGCACCCACGACGCCGCCCGTAGAGAAGACGCCCACCCCTACGTGGACGCCAGTGACTTCCCCCGTGGATGTGTACATACCCTACGAGATCCCAGGCTCGGATGCACCCGATGACGTCGGATTTGAAGACACTTCCCAAAGCGCGAGTCAGGCGCAAGACACCTCATCAAACTCCGAATTCTCTAGTTCCGCCGCCATCAATGGTGAAGACGAACCAGACTCCTTCTTCTCCAACGATATCATGATTATTTTGGTGGCTGTCTGTGGCGGTCTGGCGCTTGCTATAATTGTTCTTCTGATTGCTCAGAAGGTACGAAGCTCGAAACGAACAAAGGCGCTCCCTTCTCATGACCTTATCTCAGAAGAACAAGATGGCAAGGACTGGAGCAATGCTCAAGATGAGTACGAAGAGCACTGTCGTAGAAACGAGGAAGAAACGCTTCGCGAGATTGAAAGCACTGCACCCTCGACACCCAGCCAGGGAAGCAAGCGGCCTTCTAAAAAGCCGAAGAAGTCCCCGGTGACACCCACGACACTGGCATCCATCGAAGAATCTCCCGCTGAAAACGACACTTCGTTCGTTAGTGATGCTACACCCAAGAACCTTGTAAAGTCTTTTGATGCCTCGATGATGGAAGAAACTTCAATCAGGGGCAGAGGCCTAGAAGTGTCCTTGGCTGACGCTCCTCTGCCCAACAAGACTGCAGATGATGCAATTGCGCAACAAAAGTCGACCACAAGTGTAGCGTCGACCGACAACAGCAAGACTGCAGGAATTTCTTCAGTGGAAGTGGTTGCCAACTTGGGCAATAAGCCCCCCAAAGTAATGAGTCGAGTCAGATCCCCTGCTGTGGTCCCTTCTTCGCCTGACCATGGAGGGAATGACTTGATGTCCGTGGATGGCTCTCTCTACCTTGACGATGATAGTTACCTTCAGGGCAGCAAAGTTGAAGTGGCATCGCTCTCGCAGTTTTCAGCTGCGTCAACTCAGGAGGGCGGATCAGATATCGGAACCCATTACACCACCGATGAAAACGGACTTCGGTTTGAAGCTGCGTACGAGAAGCCGAGGGTGGCGTCCCCTATTATGTCTCGAACTTTGAGTCCTCAAGTTGAAGATTATCTGCGTCGGAATACATCCTTTGGTTCTTCTTCCAATCCACCTGTGACTCCTGGTGCGTACCTTCAAGCCAAGCCAACTGGAACAATGTCGCCTAGCCCTGTGACGCCACCAAGTGAAGCAAATTCGCCCGAACCTGATGGTGGCATCGACAAAGATGTCGCCCGTGCTGGACATAGCGTTCGGCCTGGAAGTGGGCAAGGTCGAGGCCGTCAAGAAGAACCGAGCGATGAAGAAAGTAGTGGTATACGCAGCCGTTCACCTTCAATTCCTCGTCCACCCGTCGAAGCAGAAGCCAACGATGAGCCAGAAGACGCGTGGAACAGCTTTCTCTTCGAACTGGCCAAAGCTGAACGGGAATTCTTCAATCCTTCGTTTGGAAAGAAGAAAAAGGAGGCAAAGAGGTCAGAAAGCCCCCCTCCTCCTCCACCTCCTCCACACAGCCCTCCCGAGTCGCCTGCTCGTGGGCAACTAGACCCACCAACCAGGCGGCAGCTACTGTAAGCGCCACCTGCATGACAAAGGCACCAGTAGGCAAATGTATAGTATCAATACAAGTATATCGATATGTAATGAGAAAAGGAGCGCGCTTCAATACTTCAAATTAGGCCAGTTTGTTACGGTGGTTGCATTCTTGCTATATAGATCATCTTTCCGGTGCCGCGATGCTCCCTGGTTTACGATCGATAGAGGCAATGGTGCTGGCTGGTTACTGGCTGCTGGGATTGCATCTATTTGCTTGCCTTCACCATTTGCGATGATTTCCTCTCGTCGTTCTCAGGCGTCCTCGCCACCTCGAATTGCATCCGAAAGGCGCTCAATAAGAGCTGCTTTCTTGCCGCTCTTTGGTATGCCGTAAGTTTCACAGCCAAGCTTGAGATCGGAAACTGTGTACCTGTCAAGGTTGCCTTCCCGGAGTTCCTTGGCCCAATCTGGAAAGGCTTCAGAGATGAGCACTCAACAGCTGCTGACCTCACGCCAATAGTAATACACTCTGAACATACCTGTGTCGTCGGACGCCTCCAGTTTCGCAGCTTTGCGCTTCTTCGGTGGCTCAACTGGGTCCTCTGGCAGGGCATCTTTCAGTTCCGAGACTGGCCCCCGAATGACATCAAGAGCATCTTCGCTCAGAGTTTGGATACAATAGTCCCTTGAAGGAGAGAGAGCCGTTTCCTCAGCCACACTTTCAATATAATCCTACCAGTGAACAGAAGGACAGAAGCAGTGCTGAGCTCATCCAAAACAAAAAAAGAGACGATTGACCTGCCATTGTTCAAAGCTAATTGGCGCGAGACAATCCCTGGACTGACCAAAACTTACCCAAAATTTTTCCAGGTGACCAGACTTGAACCCACTTGAAATGTCAAAATCGTCCAATCGCATGGTAGCAAGAACAGCCGTGGCTGCCTGGACCACATCGTCCGGAACATCAAATTCTTCATTCGTCGACTTGTCTGGTGGAATCGTACGAACTTTGTGTCGCAGGGCACGTATTGTAAGGAGAGACCGAACATGCTTTCATTGGTCAATCATGCAATCTGGTGCAAATAAGCTCACCTTCGTTCTCGAACGGCAGATAAGTCACAATCCAACCCGGCGGGTACAACTGAGCAATCTCATCTTCGCTCTCATCGTCACTGTCACCGTCGCCATTATCCCTGTCCATCACTTCCTCCATGGCCTGGATAGCCACAAGTCTGGAGGTGGCCGAGTGACGTACTAGAAGTTCCCCAATCCCCACAACCTTTTTCTTGAGCATGGCCTGATGCAAGTGAGCAAAGGCTGCCGTGCTTCCCTCAATCGCGTCTTCATTGGGGTATACAAAGTAGGATTTCAAGTTCATGTGGAGTGGTACCTTCTCGGGCTTTTTGAACCCCAGTAGAGTCAAACTACGAAACTCGGTTGCATTGGATTGTTTCTTGAGCTCCACCACTTCCTCCACCTTGATGGGCACAATCTCTTTGGTCTTCAAGGCATGAAACTTTCGGATTCGCGCCAGTCCCGGTTGTTGCCTTTCCTGCTCCTTTTCCTCGTCCGTGGCTTTGGATTTGAACTTGGCGAGTATTTCTCCTGACATAGTTTGTTTGTAGGAGTACGACACCAGTTCCACAGGCTTCTCGTCTTTCCCTATCTCAGCTTTGATCTTCTCTCCAGTGGGAATCTTCTGGAGCGACACTAGCGTGAAAAAGTCCAGGGTAATGGATGGTGCAAGTTGTTGTTTTGTATCTTCTTCTTCTTCTTCCCCATCGTCCTTCTTTTCTTCTTCCCCTTCCTTTTTGTCACCATCCGTTTCCATCTTGTCGCCATCATTTTCAACGTCTTCTTGCTTGATGCTACCGGTATTGTCTTGCTGATTGGTTGGTGGTTGTAGTTTCTGTAGAAAGAATGGCACTTGATCCGGGAACAGCAGTGGCACTTGTAACGACTTTCGGATGGTCTTCCAGTGCCCCGACAAGACATCATCGATATCTTGCAAGTCGTAATAATAGTGCTTATTCTCGCCACTACTACTACTACTTCTGCGTCCCTTCATGGCCCGTTGTAGCATCTGCCGCAGATCATCTGGAATGTCGGCAATCTTGTCAAAAAAGCAACTTTCTTTGCGTGCTGCAACGGCGGATCGTTTTCCCGTGGGCGGCGGCAGAGGCCACCCCTTGATTTCGAATCCATTGTTGCGTAGGTCCTGTACCGTAGTTTGAATGATGCGTTGTCGTTCGGGATCTCGCTTGCAAAAGTCGTCTTGATTGGTGACAATCCAAATGCACTTTTTGTCATTTCCAATTTTTTCGGCGGGTGTTCGTAGCTTGTGGACACATCCGCCATTCTTTTCAGCGTCTTTAAAAGTTCCTGTAATGTCATTGAGCGCAATGAGTAATGAATCCGATAAAAAGTCGTCGTCTTGGTGTTTTTGTGGTTTGTGTCCAAACAAGTGTTTCAAGTCTAGCATGCGGCGGTCTTCTTCTTCTTGTTGTTCGTTATTGTCGGGCATGAGGCATTGTCTAAGTATTTTGACCGTGTCGACACCGGGTGGTTCTAGAGCAATCAAATGGTGAATGGTGGTTCGTCCACTGGCTCGGTTGGATTTGGGGTGCATGTCATCGTCATCATCATCACTGTCATCGGAATCGGAATCTTCATCGGAATCCTTCTTCTTCTTTTCTGCTTCTTCTTCTTCGACCAGAGAATTGTCATCATCATCTTTTTTCGTTTGCTTTTGTTTACCAAAACGCCGTTTGTCTCTGTTGGCTGCCAAGAGTTCGTCAATATCGACGCGTGTTCGTTTCCGTGTGCCAAAAAGCGCCAGACCAAACCCATTTCGTTTTCCCGATTTGGTTTGCACATTGCGTCGTACATTGCGTCGAATATGCTCTTGCAATGCTTGGAGCACTGCGTCGACGGGTGTGATGAATGATACTTCTGGTTCTTTTGGTGGTTTGCCATTATGGTCCTGACTGTTGTCCCCATCCACATCAAATTGACTTTGACTCCATTCCACGTCGTCGTTGTTGCTGGATTGAGAAGAAGACTGCTTTTTCTTGCTGTTGTAATTTTTGGTTTTGTTTGTAGTGGCAATAGTAGGTTGAAACATGTCGGGAGACAAATCCAAGAGAATCAGCAAGTGCTCGGCTCCTGGGGTCCTCAAGTCAATCACTGGCTCCTTCGTCTTGTCACCATCATCCTTTTCCAATTCGTCAAATTCTGTCAAGTCTATATCACCCCAAAAATTGTCGCCATCGTCGTCGTCGTCATCATCATCATTGTCTTCTGCGCCTTCACGATTCTGATTCGCATCGTCGTTGTCAAACGGCATTATGTTGATAAATTAAATTTAGGTATACACTCACTGATCAGTCCACCAATAGTACTCAGTAATAGTTTAGTTGATATGCACACCAGACAATCAATCAATCAATCAGCCATTGGGTGAGGTTGCTACCGGTACCAGGTACCGCTATTCTAATTAATGGAATGAAGTGTTGTTGGTGTGTTGGTGTGGGCTTCAGAATAAGGTTCCGATCCAGAAAGATTTCATGCCGAAAGATCCAATTCGAATAAGCAAAATTCGGCTAAATTGTTCATTCAATTCGAAACGAATCACATTCGAATGAATCGAATCTCCCGCCAAAAATCAACCGCGCCCGAAACTCGATCTTCCCTCGTCGTGTCTTTTAGCTTTGTCTCATTTTCCATCAGACAAAGCATTGTGCATTTCATTTTCTTGTGTCTTTCTTTTTGACCACCATGGCGTCCTCCGGTACCATCACCCCTGATCTCCTCAACTCGTTGTTATCTCCTGACGCTCAGCGTCGCAGTCAAGGAGAAGCCTTCTTGCAGACGTTGTCCGTCGCCCAACGAGTCCAAGGATTTCTTCCCATTGTCATTCAGGCCAATGACAACAGCAACAACAACAACAACTCTACCCATGGACACTTGGCGGCCGTCTTGTTGCGTCGAGACATTCTGCGCATGACGGAATCCCCGGAAGCACTCGTGGATCCTCTTTTGCAGGCATTTTTGACGGCTAACACTACTGCCAGCAGCACGACAACCAATCGCATTGCCATTGGACATTGTCTGGCAGAGATTGCTGGATCCGTCGCCATGTTGGCGCCATCCAACCAAGAACGTGTCATGAACCGAATTCTCACGGCGATTGGAAATGCGGTAAGTAGCTGCAGGAATGTATGAAAATAAGAATCAACTCATTATCATTATCTTAAGTATTATTTTGGCACGCACTCACCAAACAACTATTTTTGGCTTTTTGCATTGTTTTTCTCAGGTGGGACAAGGCGACATTGCGTCACTTCGTTTGTTAACTGCCATGGCAGAACGGGCTCCTCTCGTCTTTGCCACTACCGCTGCTCCATCCCTCGAAAATCTCATTCAGCAAGTGACCTTCTCCAACAATAACAACCACAACAATGAACAACTCTTGGAGGCCCTCATGCAACTCTTGGTGCACGCAGCCATTGCCACCCAAGCAACCCAGCAGACTGTGTTGCTGCCATTTACCACTGGCGAGGAAAATGCCACTATTGATCCCAATTCAGTGGCAGCGGCATTGGGACGCAGCTGTTTGCCCAAATTGATGCAACAGTGGTCATCATCCTCCTCCGAAATAAGCTCATCATCATCATCATCATTGGCCATGCTTCAAGAATGGAC